TAATATTTATTTAATAAATCTATTATTATATTAAAATACTAATTTATATATTATTAGAGAACTATATTCCAGATTAATTCTTTCTTTTTTATATTTTATTTTAAGGATTCTAAATATTTTTATAATTCTTTACTAATTTTCTTAAGCTATATTATATTTCTAATTTTCTAGGTTTTCTAGTATTTTTATAAAGTATAGTATATATATAATAGAAAATTCAGAGATTTTAATATTATTTTTTATTCCTTCCTAAGAGGTTTTTCTAATTATTCTAAGGATCTTAATCTTAGTTTTTCCTATTATACTAAATTACTTTTTTCCTTCCTTAGTAGGTTTCTAGTTTTTTTAGTTCTTCTACTTTTTAAGCTATAAATACTAAAGTAAAATATACTTAATCTTATTATAATTATAGTATTTATATTTTTCTATAGATCCTAGTTCTATAGGACCTATATATATTCTAGATTCTATAGATAGAAGTAATATTTATTATATTCCTTAGTTAGATCTATTAGTTTTAATATAATTCTAATCAGTTTATTTATTTTCTTTTTACTAGTATCTTTTATATAGGCAGTTATTAATATATATTATAGTTATTATATAGTTAAATAAATCTTTAGGTTTATCTATTTTAAATAATTAATCCTTAACTTTATTTTTAAATCTATTATAGAATATAGCCTTAAGAGAGCTATTATCCTAATCTAATTATATAATAATTTCTCTAAATCTAGCTATATAACCAGAGGCTAATTCTATCTAATATAGATTTTTAAATTTCTTAATAGCTTATTATTTCTTATCTACTATACTAAATACTAAGATAAAGATAATTAGAAAGTTATTATAGTTAGTAAGAATATTAATAGTTTCTTAGTCCTATTTACTTAATTTCTTTTTATAATTATACTAGTTTTTAAGATAAACTTTAAATTATTATCCTATAGTACTATTAAAGTATATTCCTATAAATCTAATCTTATCTTCCTTATCTTTAAACTTTATTAGAAAAAACTTAAAATATATTTAAAGCTTAGTTTTAAATCTATCTAATTTATTAGTATCTTCTAAGAAGAAGTTTAGGGGAGTTAATTAAAATATTTCTTCCTAGTTCTTAATATCCTTCTTTTTAAACTACCCTACTTATATTATAAGTTATATAATAATTTATTTAGTAGTTAGCTCTTCCTTCTTTAAAGTATTATTAAATTCAGTAGGAATTATCTTTATCTTCTTTATTATTATATAGTAATTAAAATAAGATAATTAGCTAAATAAAAGTTATTAATATATAATAGTTAGATAACTTATACTAGATCTAGTTTAAGGTAAATTAGGATTAAACTAATTAGAGTATTATTCTAAGTAATATAATTAGGTTATTATAAGCTATATAATATAAGTTACTATTAATATATAAGTATTATAGAACTAGTAATAATAGATATATAGATAATATTACTAAGAGATTATAACTTTATTAATAACTATCTGAAAGAGTATTCTAGCTAATAAAATAAATATATATATATACTAGAGTTATTACTTACTTATTACTTATCTATTACTCTGCCCGAGTAATAAGTTATAGTTTATTAATTATAGCCTCTATAAGGCTCTATACTATATATAACTTTATACAGCCTAACAGAGGCCTTTATTTATAATACTCTACTAGTTATATTATTACTCTAAAGAAAGATCTACTTCTAATTTATAATAGTATATATTATTTTTAGTAAGATAATATCTCTATTTATTATTCTTATATAATAAAAGCTTTCCTTCTTAATAGTATAATCTTACTTATTAATTAGTCTAGTTATAATCCAGATCTTAATCCTATTAAATATATATAGATAATATTAAAGAGATAGCTTTATAAAATATTCCTTTAACTAGCTAATTTATATAGAAATAAGCTAGATATTAAGATATTTAAAAAATACTTATAGAAAGTATAGATAGCTATCCTCTAGAGTAAGATCTATATACTAATTAAGTTACTACCCTATAGGGTAGAGGTAGTATATTAGGTAAAGGGATAGTATATAAAATATTAAAATAGTACTTTAGATAAGTAAAATAAATTAAATACCTTACTTATAGCTATAAAATTAGTTATATTATATATATTTTAATTACTCGGGTTATTACTCGGGTTGTGGCTAATTATGTTTTTTGACAGACTTTTGGACCCCCACTGTAGGCAGTCCGAGGGTTTTCTTGGCTTTAACAACCCAAGCTCCCACGACATTCGCAATCCAAATTTGTTCTGGTGCGGTAGGAGAGATGATGCCAAGGGCGACCGCGATTCGGTTTGGGCCTCTATTTGCTAGATATGGTTTGAAAACCAGCCATCGGTAGAGCGGAGAGTACAGTAAAGCCCGATTTGTCCGTGCTGGGACCAGTACACGTGCAAGTTGCGGTGACTCGCCGGCATGAAAGCGCTATGGCCCCGCAGTAGGTGGGATGACTTGGATGTCATTGTGGACAATCTCACACATACGCATGGACTTGTTCGGTCTAGTGGCTTGGCTACTTACTCTGGGATACAATATTGCATGGATGATAATGTGTTGGATGAAGTCCTTGTAGCTGTCAGTCATGAAGTTGCTGTCACAGTGATATACTTGGTAGTTGCTAAGTTCACGGTTGTGCGTGGTTTCAAGGCATGGCAAGGCATCAAAGCCAAAGGGGATAGGCTCTGTCCCAACTTTCTGTTTTCTGTTTTACGTTTATCATTTAGCAAGCAATGTAATTTCTTCTCTGCCATTGAGATTTATCGTCAGCCCTACTGTGTCATGTTGCTATTAATAAAGTTGTTGATCATCTAGCCCCATCAGTCGACCAGGTTATTTGACTTTGGCAGGGGAATGAGCTCCAGTCATAAGCACACTAGCGTCTCAACACTCGGAGACTTTCATGAACTCGGAGACATACTTGCCATCTATGAGCTTAACCCTTCAGGGTTCTCCCATAAATTCCTCCTCTTAACTCGTGTCTCTTTCAGGTTCCTTGGCCCCTATCCTTAGTCTATACCCTGCCCGTGTTTATAACGTCATAACGAGCAGCTTGAAAGTTTCCCTCAACCGAATTGCCTCTCAGTTCTCCCATAACGAAGTATCACAATGTCCCAATTAAAGACGACGGCGGTTGAGCACTTCGAGTCTCTTGCCGCCAGCTATGAAGCGAGCACCGGCGGTGCCACCCGCATGGTTGCCGTCCACCTCGTATCTCTCGTTACCCCCTCCCTGGGCGATTCCTCCGCCGTCATCCTCGACAACGCGTGCGGTTCAGGCGTCGTTGCCGATGAAATCCTGAAGAAGTACCCTGCTACCACCATCCACGCCGTTGACGCTGCCCCAAGCATGGTCGGCATCGCAAAGCAGAACCTCAAGGATAAAGCCACCGTCACCCCCGTCGAGTTCGGCGTGATGCCCGGCGAGAAGCTGGAGTTCCCCGACGCCAAATTCTCCCACAGCTTCACCAACATGGGCATCATGTTCTTCACCAACCCCGCCCAAGGCGCCGCCGAGATCTACCGCACGCTCCGGCCCGGGGGCACGGCCGTCGTCACATCCTGGTCGAAGCTGGGCCATCTCGACCTGGTGTTCAGGCCGGCTCACGTGTCCATTCGTCCGGATGACGAGCCCGTAAGGTTCCCGTTGCCAGAGGTGTGGCATGATCCAGAGCACGTTCGCAAGGTTCTCTCTGAGGCTGGCTTCAAGGACGATGCGATTGAGGTGACCACTTTACCGGTGCAGTATGGCGCCAAGAAGAAGGAGATGCTGCTGGAATATATGATGGATATGGCTGGGAAGATGCTGACAGCGGACTGGCCGGAGGCCGACAAAGACGCCTTTAGAAAGGCGGTAGCGGAAAAACTCGATCAGGAGGCGAAGGAGTACACGATGCTGAGTGGCGAGCTTGGATTCGGGCTACCGATGGAGGCCATTGTGGCGGTTTGCCGGAAGTAAATACTGGTTATTGAGTCTCCACAGCTGGGAAGTTAGATGAGTACGCGATGGAAGCATACTGTTTCACTATAAGCCTCCCGTTCTTCATGATATGCAGCTATATCTAAGCAAGCCTACCCATAGAGCATGAAGCATACAAAATGTAGATTAGACTCTGATTATCTTGACTTATTTTTAGAGCCTGCCTTTACTACCGTATTCGTCTTGGTATTCGATTTTCCACTGATGCACTACACCTGGCTCGTCAATCCTGGAAATATCAATTCATCAATGAAGCTAATCTACTGTCTATTACAGGAAGTCTCTAACTGAATTACACAATGAATTGTTACCTGGAGAACGTGGTGCCACTCAGAAAAACTTCACTTGCTTTACTGTACTTTGCGAGCTGGGACTAAAACCCAGTTTGCTAGAAAGTGAGAATCTTTGGGTAAAAACGCCTTACAGAGCCCAGGCGATACACGTTGCTCTGGGTCACATTGCTTATTACACTTGAACAGCTAAGGCAGGCTGGTCAGACACATCGGATCCGATAGTCATCGCTGACTAAATGCTTAACCTCGAAGACATAACGGTGTCGTGGAAAGGCAGATTGCCGATATCTAAATCTAAGACACGTGTACAGATACGAGAGAACCGAATGTTTGTACTTATGGATCTTTAGTTACTAGAATTGGAAAGAGTGATACGTAGTCACGGCAGAGAGGAAAATATTCCGAAGGTCTTCGTATCTGATGAATACGAGAGGTAATGACATAGCGCTGCAACGCCAAGCTGATTGCAGGATGCACCGGGCCTAAAGGCCTATGAATGGATGTAAAATACCACAGAAACCAACAGCTAGCGCCCTGAATTAGTTAGCCTTTTCTTGCAGCTCACCCGAAAGGAAGAATTAATTTGGTTGATTGACCACTCCTCTGCTGTCTGATTCGGTGCTCATTTGCAGAATGACTTGACATGGGTGGTTAGCACATCCATAAAATGTAGCCCTCGTACTATCACTTAATGAGTCTCTTTGGTTATTCGCCTGCTGAACTGTGCATGATGTTGCCTGACGAACAGCGGCTAAGGTGACCCTTGTTTCTGGACCGGCTGACATCATTTATCAGGACCGTATGGGATCAAGTCATTGAGAAATGGCTGCCTGAGAGCAATTTGTTTGTCGTCATTCCGATCAAGGCTTAGGATTCGGGGCAACCTTGCGGAGATTTCCCCTTCGGTTCGCGTTCACGAAGAGTCTAGGTAGGCTTACGTACAAGTCCTGCTGAACGGACTGCTTTGAGTGAGTTGATTGTATCATTTCAATGAAAAAGAAATTGTTAAAAGAAAGTCGTGATATTTCATTCATTTGGACCCGCCATATCGCCCTCTTGAACCCAAGAAGCCGATTGATTTCCATCTCAGGCATCTCTGCGTCACATGGATTCTCATATAAGCCTGCCGAGACCGTTCAGTTCATCAAATCATTCGCTTGCCCCGAAAAATCCCAATAACAAAAAACGAAAGAAGGTAATATATATTATAAGAATAGTAATAAAGAAGGTGGTAAAAATTGGTAGATGTAGAAAGAGAAGAAGAAAACCTAAGCCGTGGCATCAACATGGCGGAGGATGCCTCAAGTTGAATGTTAGGTGGTTGAAATCGTGCCTATGAAGTGAGTTTATCACTCGTCCTGCGATATAGCTTGTGTATGTTCAGAAGTGCTGAATATCCAATAAGGAGGGTTGATGACCGCATTTGAGGGTGTCGGCCTCAAATTCCCCTTTGGGATGGGGTTTATATGAGTCGGATACGCATGCAAAATGGGAATATCATTCCCGTCATTTAGTGGCATCCCATTGAAAAGATCTCTACCCTCGGGAGGGAGAAAGGAATAGCCCGGTGGTAGAGGAGGGGAATCGTGCCGCGAGGCTGGAAGGCTTTGGAAGTAAATTTGGCAAGCGTCGGTGAGAGTTCTCGTCACAAAAGAACTGCTTGTTCCCAGCTCGTTATTGGGAATAGAGGGTAAGGAGGCATGGAATACTGCCTCTACATAGGGTGACAGTAGGGAAACTACCTCTTCAATATTGTTAGGCTGAATGTAGGGGGATTGAGGTACGTTGTAACTGGGGAACAAGCGGCGCCAGATAGCAAACCACTGAGCTTCGCTGGTGCCCCCTCGAATCAGGCGGACAACTTGTATCTCCTCAGGAGAGAGCCCTTCTGGCCTTAATTCGTGCTGGCCCTCGCCTTGGCAAGGGTGATGAATTCTGGATTGTTCATCCATGAACGAGATCCAGCATGCTGGGCAAAAATATGGTGGAAGCGAGTGCCGTCGAATAAGGTGTTGTTTGATGTCTGATATCCTGGGAAACCGGTGCTTTTTGCATTCGTCGTATACCTGAGGGTTGAATTTGTAAAAAGGGCAGGCAAATGAAGGCGATGAAGGCAATGCATGGGATTCGTCCATTGCGTCCAGAGTGGCCATGCTAGCCGAAGCAATTGAATAAGGGGGAGAGTCTGATCGGGTACTGTTAGCACCAACAAGGATTTAAATCCGCACACTTTCCTGAGATTTGTATTCTTGAAGAGAAAGAGGCTTACCAAATGAAATAGGGGCTGAGAAGTGGCTTAATGGTCTAGCCCGTCGTCGTGTTGACTTAGACGAGTTGTTGATGATGGAACTCATGGCGGAGCTAGAAGCAGGCAGAGAATAGTTTTGCGATTTGAGACGAGAGAGAATCACTGGCGCGAAGGGGAGTTGTTGGCTCATCCCAAGGGTATGAATCGCTCGAGCATCCAGGGGCGAACAATATGCTTATATAGTTTCAATACTGTTGAAGTTGGTCATTTCGGCGTGGTGGCAAATTGACTATATACCGTAGGCGAGAAAGACAAGAGCGGGCAGGGGTGCTGGAGTGTGGGGCAGGAAGGGGCGTAGGGTTAACACACCCGTCTCCTCGACGGTCAGGCCCTTCTGTCTTCCATATCCCAATAGAGCCTGTTCCGAATGCCTACCGTCCAGGACGAATACCCACCGTCCAGGACCCCGTGCGTCCCGCCCGTTTGAAAGAGGGAGCTTGAGTGTGGGGCGGGAAGGAGAATGAGGCAGCCAGCTCAGGGCGAACCAGAGCGAACCACCAATCAAATGCGAGCTTGGCTGATCATTCTTGAAAGTTTGAAGACCAGAAGGGATTGATGCCCCGCTACTCTGACAGCTCGGACGCTTACAGGGTCAACTGGCTCAACTCGCACAAACGCGGGAAATACGGCGATCAAAGGACACTCCCTAGCTGCGCCTCCAGGGATGGAGCGAGCAACCCAAGTACGTATCTAGCACCATAGAATATCGGGTTCCCGGTGCGTCCGAGGTCAGTCCTGGAGTCGGAGGCTTACCTGTCTATTGAATTTGAACCCCGAAGAGCTCCCTACCAGCTCGAGACGGACGTCAGACGTCAGTCAGATGCGTTTGTGACATAGAACTTTGGTCACTAAGGTTACTAATTTGGGCTACTTGATACTTTACTGCCTCTTTTTTCGTCTCCCAAAAACGGCCGCTTTAGGAGAGATCTTTGCATGTCCGGTTTTCCCCCAATTCAACAAGGATCTCGGCCTAGGTTGGACTGGGCTGCTTCTCACCGTGCCTTTCTACAAGAGTTTTTTTTACCACAGAATTTGCCTATATTTATGTACCTTCTGTAGCGGTGATTTTCTTATCTTTCCACACATGCGTAGACATATTTAGCAGGGCTTGGTCCGCTATGGCTTCTACGTATTGAGAGTGCATTCTTTGCCACTGCCGTAACATCACGCATCCGAGATCTGGGGCACACTCATCAACGAGGCATCTTTGCCTCCTAGGCAACTTAAAATCTATTCGTGGCTCTTTGTGGCGATTATCGTCCCGTCGGCAGGACGGCCGAACACTGGGGCACAGCGACGAATTCTTATTCTATTTCAATCTACGCGGCGCGGCATGACATCTGGCATTCCCGCCCGCGGTGTTCGCTGTTTGGGATGGGCGTGCGTAGAAAAGGCGGAGGCTCGGATCAGCCAGGCTTACACGCCATGCAGTGCTCATGCAATGTGCAGGTGGCATGTGCCCAGTAGACCAGCAAAGATTCAGCCTCCATCGGCGGCGCAGGGAGCGAGCCAAGGCAGCATCAGGAATCAGCTGAATCCAACGAGACTGCAGCAAGCCCGTGGGGTATCAAGTGCGGGCCAGACAGACAGTCTCCCCCGGCCTCGCTCTCGGTAGACCAAGGAACGTCATTTGGTATCCATCAATATCTCCATTGAGGCATATAATTCATCAACCCATGCCGGTCTTGCTTGCTTGCATCGGACGTCAATCGTTATCGTATTCCTTCTCGTTCCACTTAATGCCACGTCGCAACCCTGAACAGTAGGATGACAGGGGCTACGCGCGAAGTCGGCCATTGGTTTCCTCATAGACTGATTCTCGTCTGGGGCAATACTGGAGCCTTTCCGAGGATAAGAAATGCGCCGATGGGCAATTAAGCGCTGCATGAGGCCCCCCTTCAGCTCCGTGCCGAAGCCGGGGTGAATGTTCTCTTCTTGGAAACAGCGTCCAACCGTATCCCAAAATTTTGTAGGTGTCCTACTCTTTGAGCTATGGCTCATCTGCCGACCTGTCTATGGGTAGGTTACTACAGATACACGGTGGGTTGACTGAAGCACAGAGCGGTGATTTTAGCCTAATTTGGCTTTCTTTATCGTGGAAATGGACGTAAGCCATTTTGGTCCAAGGTTTCGCAAAAAGCAGACTGAAGATCGACTATTCGCCCCAAATGAGAGGTTTGTTTGAGATAAAAAAAATAAAAAAAATAAACACAGCATCAGAACTGCGGGAATCATCAGAGGACTGTAGTGCTGGCTAACTTAAAGGCTAGTAGGTAGCAATTTACCGATTAAAGCGTCGATGAATAAATTATTCCAATATTTCATCTTTGAGGTTAAGTTGTTGTGCCGTCGTTGAGTTACTCCGAGTTCTATGCTCTTGGCGACCCCTAGGGGTCGGAAAAGGTGCCCCCGACAAACTTTGATTGATGTATAATATGAGTATCTCCAGCGCATGGAACGTCAAAATCTATGTAAAAATGGTGTTTGAAGTAAGGTCATCAGTCTCTTGGCCTTCAATCAGGCTATCTATCAATTCCATCACGAATGCCTGGAATAATCGACCAAGTTTCTCCCGTGAAAATCAAACCCCCTTCCTGCCTCATGTGTTCAGGGTCTAGATATACTCTCATCCCAATATTGTTACTGTCCAGCCAGAAGACACGGAGTATCATGTAAACCTCAGAACGATCCTCGATGCTGTGAATATTTTGCATCTAGTCGCTGTCAGTCGTGCCTACGCTTTTTACAAACCTCATTTAGGGAATAACTTACAAGTCGATATTGGTTCTTGCTCATGTAAAATGGAGCGGCAAGCGGCCCGGTGCTGGTCTTGACCTCAAGGAGGTACTTGGGACGAGCGGCTCGCCACTCCTCACCGAGATAACCGTTGTCAATTAACAGGGCAGTGAACTCTCCTTGTACGTCCTGGTACACAATATCGGCCGTTTCTCGTTGATACCACGGTCCCATATCATGGTAGTCTGGATGCTCGGTGACATATTTCCTGATGGTACTCTGCCAGTTGCCTCGACTCCAACCTGGGAGCTGAAGAGTGGAGAGGAGCTCAAATACCTACAAGCGTAGTTAGTAACTCAGCATTACCTTCCTCTATTACTATCGACCTTACGTAAAGCTCTCCAGCGGCTCCGACCATCTTGTCTCTCTCAAATTGGTTAGTGGACCGAAACCTTGTAGCCACGTCCAAGCCGTCAAATGATTCGTACATGCTCCCAACACTGTGCAGCTCATTAATAAGTCCAGTCATGTCTAAGGCCCTCAAGGAGGGAAATGCGGCACTTTGAGACGCTGCTATGACGCGAGAAAGAAGCCTCAAGTATCCAGTGTCTTGGGTCTGTGACGTCCCCTGTGGACTTGGTTGATCTTGATTCCAGACTGACGCACGCACATGGCGACTTTGTGCACGGGAAACTGACTGCATTGTCTCGACTACAAGGTGATTATCACCATCATTTGTTGTTCCAGGCCCGGGAGAGCTATGGAGGCCGGCTCTTGGAGAGAGAACACCCTCTCTGATGGGAGTTGCACCATATAAATCAGTCGTGTCTGTCCTGGAGGATCTCGACGGTGTAGATTGAATTGAAGAGGCTTTAGAATCCTCTTCATCGAGAGCGTTGTTGTCACCGTCGCTTTCATGGTCATGTTGAGGGTCTCGATTCTCTATCCCCACGTCGAAGACACTATTGTGATTCAGGATATCGTCAACAATAGCAACATCGCAGGACAAGATCGTTCTGAGAATGTGGATCGCATCTTTGTCTTCCTTGCCAGATATTTTTGAATTCCACTTCCTCATGAGCCAGTCAGTTAACTTGTTCGGTAGGATAGAACTGAAGGAGAGGTTCCGCTGCTTCTTGTTGTGCGGCACATAAATTCTGAGTTTCTTCTGTGAATCATCAATATGGCACAATCCAACAGTCTCCTCAAGGTCAATCGACTTTTCATCTTGAGATATTGAGATAACAGAACAGATAGCGTCAGATTCGATGACTTTAGCTTCGCGGAGGACTTCATACAGAGACTCAGGGTCATCTTCGTCATATTTGGGGCTCTGAAAAGTTTTGGCAAGACTGTTTATATGTTAATATTGGCAACTACGGCTTTTCAATGATGAGCAGTTACCGTAGAATCGCGTACGCTTTGCGACTAATGTCATACTTCTCTTCTGTGATAGGTCGCCTCGTTGCTGAGGGAGAAACCCTTGTAAACTCCCGGACCGATTGAGAAACATACCTTTCGTCTAATTTCGCCCAGCAAATAAAGGGCTTCAGTCGTCGAATCTCTTCAAAATCGTAGTCGAGCAGGTTGATGTAGGCTTGTAAGCGACCACAGAGCTGGCGATCATCACCAACAGCAAATACTGCGTCGATGTTTCCTAGAGCTAAGCCCCCACCAGGGTATTTGACGGGGAGAATAGCTTCTCTTAGTAAAGGAGCTGGGTCAATGTGCGTTTGATCGGCCTGCAGGAGCGTATTGAGCGACCAAATGTGGTTTTTGATATCATCGATGGATTTTTGGCCGCCGGCATGCCGAAGCTCATCGTACAGCATCTGAAGTGTGAGGGATTGAACACCCAATTCTCCCGTGAAAAAAGTCTCTAGGCTGTCGTAATCATCATTTAGTGTAACCTTTCCACGTATCTCCGATGTGCTTGACCACAAACAATCGGACGACCTATACCAACCAGTAGCTCCGTGTCTGGTGACATAGATAAGTCGGTCCTCGTTGAAAATCATCCTTTCGCCTGTGTATTAGTGGTAATTTACTAAATTTAAGTATGAATAATTTGAACATACTTTACTTCGGCCTTGGATGCTTGGGAACGGGCCACGAATTGATAGAGCCCTTTGACACGATCAAAATCGACCTGGTCCGCATCTTCCTCATTTCTCTCTCTGACCCATCTAAGCTCCTCAACAATGTCCTTCCATGAGACGTCTTGAATACCCAGAGTATCGTGGAAGAATATAGTCAATTTTTGCATTTGACCAACATCTAGGAATTGCCAATAACGCTGGGCGACACAGGACATGGATTCCAGGTCTGGGGGGCCTTCCCATCGGATGTCGTAGCCATCCCCCACAAATTTCTGATCAATAAATTTGCCAGATGCTGTCTGATACTTTGGTGATAGTATGAGACACTCTATGAACATGTAGCTCCTTTGAATCATTATTAATGTTGCCTTTGGAAATGTGGACACGGTTGGGATATACTAACCTAACTTCTGCTAATGTCGTTGCTCGGTTGTCCGCAATCGTGGCTTTTGCTTCAATTGTCTGATAAATTTCAAATATATCACTGACCCTCTCTATCCCCTCCCCTGACCATGCCAGCCGACATAAAATCTCAAGGTAGAACCCGATGTCGTCATTTTTGCCAACGTTGAAGTCTCTGTGGAGAAATGCCCACTTTCCTTCAACATCCCCGATATTAAAGCCATCTAACCGAAGAAATGGAAAGAATACACTACCATGAGTATACTTGGCGACAATCTTCTTTAGATGCGGGACTGGAAGCCAGGGCTGAAAAGAGTTTGGACCCCAAGATAACAATGCCTCAGCCTCACAATGTTCGTATTTCCACAAACCTTGGATTAATTCTTTAATCTTTTCGTTTTCCCTCACTGAGGAACTTTCATTCTTCCAAAGATACTCTAGAGTATCGAGGAATCTGTCTGGGCGATGCTTAGCAATGTACTTGATCTCACTTGAGAGCTTGGCCACTCCATGATCAACTGGCAGGCGCCTCTGGATACCCACAAAGGTATATAGCCAATCTTCCCAGGAAAGCAGACTTGACTCATTCGCTGGCGGGTTTTCAAGATAAGAAGAATGTAGATAATACGCGCCGTAGCCCGGCGCAGTTTTTGTCCGTTCAAAGAGCCGCTTCGGCCCGCAAGGATGGTCATTTGCAAGATAGATATACCATCCCCCCTTTGGATCCATAAGATGTCTGTCTTCTGTATAAATGACGAGTTCATCGACTTTTGACGGCTTGTTGCCTTCATGATGAGTGAGGTACAAGTAATGGAGGTGGGAGATAGACCGCTCCAGGGTGATGTTTTGTCCAGGTGTATTGTAGAACAATTCAATCGAGTTTTGAACCTGCGCAACTTGTGCCTCAACAACGCCAATGTCCTTGAATAACTTCTCACGGTCCGGGTTAACAAGAGCTCTCGGATCAACTAGCCTGTACCCCAAATCCAATGGAATGGGGATGGAATGGGTCATAGGGAGATACACCTGGCCGCTACTAATAGAAGTCCAGTGGCCGCTCTGTAATGGGATAAGAGGAAGTGTTCTTATAGATGCAGCAGTCTTTTTGTAGTTAGGGTTTGTAGCCCATTTTCCCAGCGTAATGGCAGAACGTGAATGCCACGACTGGCTCCTAGAGAAATCTTTCATTCTGGAATTTGGTGAATTGAGATCATACTTCAGTAACTTAAGAACCATATCCGTGGTCCCAATTCTCAGTCCATAGTTTAGCAGTATTAATATATCGTTTCTTTCGTACAGTTTAGATATATAAGGATCCTCGCTGGTATCGTCGTACAAACAGTCACCATTTTCGTCGATGGAATCATTAGTGAGTTTGTAAATTTCAGTTATGAGACGAGGCTGCATTCGATGCCGTGACCGCATCATAGCGGTTCTTAAAATCTGAGATTTAATCTTCTCGTTGAGACTTGACCAAAAGCTATTACTGCTGTATTCTGTTGACGGTAGAAATCGCGGCCATTGATAGCATAAAGCAGGATCGTGAAAGAATTGTAGAACTGCTTTCATAAAGGCAGAAGCGATCCCATCTTGAAGGCTCATGTTCCTCCTTGATGAGGTGACAATGTCCTGTCGATTGGCGCTGGTATCGAAATCGGATTGAATGATGAACTGAGTAGGTGGGAGACTTGTGTTAGCTTTATGTGGTGAACCTAGAATAGCGAAAGGTCTCAATACCTTGTATTGCGACTCCCTAATAGGAAGAAAGGCAAACAATTCTTGCTTCTCTAGCAACGGTTCGAAATTCTCCGTGAGCGGGAATGCCAGGACGACCTCAGCAGTGGCTGATAATCGCCGTGCCTCCTCTGTATTAGGAGGATCTCGGTTGTCGCTTCTGGCAATGTTTGTCGCTGTATGCTTCGTGATGTGATAGTATCGCAGCTCTTGGATGTGCTGTCCCTCGATTTCAGATACAGTCTCCAGAGAAACTCTGTTTTCACCAGCATCCGCGGCCTTGAAGCTCTTGGAGTCTTTGAGACTACCAGCATCGTTGTAAAATGACACGCTGATGCTCTTGATCTTCTTCAAGAAAAGCAGGCAAGTCTTTTGCAAATCCTCAAATTGCTTGAAAATGATTGCCTTCAAATGTTGAAGCTCTCTAGGCTCCCGGTTCTCGTGGATGTAGAGAGTCATGCGGGTAAATGGAAGAGGAGCATCCCCTTCTGGCTCTTTCCAAATAGGCCTTATCATGCCCAGACCTGAATCCCCCTTCTCATGGCGAAAGTAGAAGGAGAAGTGACGGGATTGTATGTAAACCTTCCAGGCGGCAATAAAAACCGACTTGAAACCGATGCCTTTAGCGCCTATATAGCCATGAGATCCAGCCTTGCTGCTTTGTCCGACAGAGCAAATTGCGCCTAGATCCCTTTCATTGAACCCATCCTCGTTGCATTCAACAATTATGCGATCTGGGTGAATTTGAAAGGATATGTACGGGGTATCTCCGTTCCTCGTGGCCCGTTCGAAAGAGTTGTCGTCGGCGTTCTGGAGCAGCTCAAAAACAAATCGAGCACCGCTTCCATATATGTGCTTAGCAAGACTATGGACTTAAGTAAGTTTATATAGTGAACAGTGGCAGAGGTTGAATTAATACTCACGTCTGGACGGAATGCCCTGCTACTGACTCCAAAATCGCCCAGTTCTGCTCAAGCTTGCGACGACCTTCGGTATCAAGTTGGCTGAGAATGTCGTCAGAGAGATAGCCGTATCGGTTAGTATTCTTCTCAACCATCTCTCTTGCCTCCCGTCTGCTAGCCATCTTGATAAGCGAAGTAGGAATTATTTCTAGAATTGATGTTTAAAAAGTCTAACCTAGAGAGGGGACCCGAAACCTGCGAGTATCAAGCACAATTTAAATGGAATTTATTTGGAATCTGTACTAAGAGATATCAGAGTTTGGAACGAAGTGAAACAGAGAAAATGAAGAGAAGGCAGTGAGTTAAATTGGGATTCATGGTGAGATGAGTACCAGTGTATACTGGGCCAGCCATAAACACGGCCGAGGCAACTGCGTACATGATATGCAGTTGGTTGTTAGTCTTGTTCCAACTGGCTATATTGAGAACAGGTGTATGCAATTCAGAGCCAGTAGTTTCAGGTCCTGCTTAGCGCCTTCTAGGTGGCTATGAATCGCCAACTTGTGTAGGGCACTTCGGTAGAAGAGGGTGGGTGGTGATTCGTAATCAGCCACCAGACGCTGTGGGACCTTTGAGGCACGGCTGAATGATGGGCGCTTACTGCGGGAACGGTGGACGGCTCCTGAGCTAGAATTACCTAAGTCAGGGGGAGGGTGTATCTCTTTTTGGTTTTGACTGCATTCTGGCTTTGGCCTGATTGGCTGTATTTCAAGCACATTTGGCCGGGCGGCCACAAACTCGCCCCGTCCCTAGTCTGAGCGTTATCATCCCTGGCGGAGAGGAGAGAAGAGAGAAGAGAGGGATTTTCTGCTGTGCTCGACTTGCCGTGCAATGTTGAGTAGCGAGTGGGATGATATGGAGGGCATTGTGATCGGCTGTCAAAATTGGCCTGCTTGCTTGATAATAATTAAGTCTTTAAGAGGATATGGAAAATGACAATGCAGTTCAATAATGCCTTGGGCTTTTCTTGTGTGTGGTAGTGCGTGTATTCGAAGATACAGAGCAATATGATGGGGTATAATATTAGTATCAGATTCAACTTCATTAGTACTTTATCACGACTAAATTTAAGTGTGATCGCCAAAGCTGAGTCAAAACTAGCTTCGCGGCCTTGCACTCAAAACTTAATACTAGAATGAGGGGAGGGGGGAAACGGGCTTTCCAGCATCATCAATCTCGTAGCCTTCTCTCATTCTTTGCCGTCTCCCGTCCACCCACTGTGTCCATTTCTCCAGGAACGATTTCAGCTTCTCGTTGGAGTCCGGTATCTCCTTTCTCCAACGGGCTTCCTCCTTCCTCAGACGAGCCTCAAGTTCAAATACTCTGAAATCTTTCCCATTCACTGTCACAGTGATTTTGTTTATCACCTGCTCGTAGAGGATCAGGCCCCTCTCCACCATATTGATGTCAAAAGACAGGATCCTGTCCAAATAGCCAGATAGATAGATTGCCAGACGTTCTTCGATCGGTAGCGAGTTATCATCGTGGATTGGAAACCTTTCCAGTTCCTTCTTTGTCACCTCATATCGTTTATCGTCGACTAGTATGCTCTTGTGGCCCGATGCACCACTAGGTGCCACGACATCAATGATGACTTCGTTGACAACATATCGTGAAGATGTTGTAGGCCGGCTATGTTCAGAAGGACTGGGACGCAGAAGTCCGGGTCCGTAGTCGAGAAACTTCGCAAGTATCCAGTAGAATGACCAATGTAGAACAGTCGAGGATCGATGATCACCGTCCACTATAATTCTGTGGCGATACATGTTCTCCAATATATTAGGAGGGTCAAAAGTTCTAACTGTAGCGTAAAGAGAACCAGTGTACCGTGTCTGAGGCAGAGCGGAGATGGACCAGGTAGGCCAGGCCCCTGACTCTTTGACGTACATGACGTCGACGTGACAGTCCGTAGAGAGACTAGGGAGGAGTCCCTTGACTTCATCATGAATCTGCCTGTTCACTAGGAGAAGCGGCAAAGCAGGATTCGGGGGCACGAGATACCAAACTCCAACATAAGTGCACTCGCCGTCCGCCTCAGTATCTTGCAGTAACTTTCGGTCTGCTCGGCTTTCTAAGGGACCCGAGGGAGGCAGGTTCAGGGAGCAAATAACCCAGCCGAAGACCACCAGTCTGATCTCCAGAGGTATGTTAAGTAAGAAGGACATGGTGAGGCTGGGCTTGGTAAAATATCTTCTGAATTAGGCGTTTATTGTATTGCGAAGATGACGATGATGAGGGGTTTAGGTAGCTTAAGGAGACCATTGGCGTGGAACGCTGAGTCAGATATCAGTTGGCGCTTGGGATGCAGGCGTTCTTTTCTTTTTTCTGTTGCTCAGGCAATTGATAGGTGCATTTAATTAAGATGTGTCATGAGCTAGGGATTTTTGAAGCCTCCATGTCCTTCCCTGCCCATTCGATACTTCAGCTGATCAAGACGTTCCCCCTTGTTTGTTTTTGGGCAAATACTGGAAGCCACCGTGAGACAGATACCGAGTCCCACAGCTATGACCAATTCACCCCAGATCTATGTGTAGTCATTATTTGAACGAAAAGCAGGACGAATGTCTGGGTGGCAGCAATCCGCCTATATTAGCTCATTGGGTCGATTCCCGCGGAACCCGAGGTGAGTCCCGGTTTAGTTCTCTGTTTGTGGTCATAACTTCCGCGGTTCATCTCCACAGTGGCCGTCTAAAAAAGCCGCAGATTCATAATAGCTCTCATATATCTTAATGAAAATATCTACTTCTCAAAGTTTACTGCCCCAAAACTTGGAACAAGATGCGGCCATCCGGCCATGTTCCTTTGGCCCATTGTCATCCTACACGTAATCGCCATGGCCATGGCACAGAAGTTTCAACGTGAAAACATAGATTTTACTTGGACGAAAGTAGTCAAGAGCGCGAGGTGCCCTGGAATTTCCATGCTTGTTGTTCAGCGAGGTGGCATAGCAAAACTTCCAGAGTCATAAGCCTTGGCTTTGGCAGTGGAAATAAATTGTTAGAATTGGAGCGAAGCACGGAGAACGTCCAAAGCATCATCTCTTACCGCAATTTCGTCACCTTACCGTGAGTGCACTTACATATTTTACACAAGTACCCAACTTACATCATAGATGAAAAGATATGGCTAGTTTATAAGGCGCAAACTTATTAATCCTATGATTCCTATCCAATGGGGAGTTCTCTTTATCCAGCTTCTCATCGCCCTCAATCGAGACGTTCGCAACACTTCGTAATGGCAGAGCTCACGAGCTTTGTGTCGGCTATTGCTACCCCCATGACTCTTGGCTTCAAACTAGCAAGTTAGATGTTGAACATTATAAAAGATTTAGGCACCGTAGTCGTCAATTAAAATCCGCCGCCGTGGATATCGAGCCGCTAATTTTTGTTCTCCTTCACCTAGGGAAGCGCCTCAAAAACTTGAAGCATATTACCAAGCAGCCATTTCAGACAAGATAAGATACCATCGCCCGATTCCAAGGAGAAGTTGAAGACATCGACGAATGCGATACGTTGTGGTTAAAAAAGGGAGGTCCTGTCTAAGTTTGAATTGGATGAGGCGTGTAAAGCGGTTATTTTCCGAGTCAAAGCTTGCTAAGAGAACAACTGCGATAGACTCACTCCAGTTAATAATAATACTATTATTTATTGCTAGGTTCGGCTTCATGCGTGGTAAAGATGTCGAGCAACCTACTGCCGATCAACGCAGGGAGAGAACCGTGGAGACGTCCTTGCTTCCCTCAGGCGTCGTAGGTAACGCTGTTGGATTAGATGGTGGTACCGAACATCCACCAGTATACGCAATGCATTCAGCAACCTTGGACTACAGTCATCTTCACACTTCTCCCAGGATCATCAGGTATATGCAGATTAATACCCAGTCCCCAAACCCCCATCGTCCAAAACTTCCATCATATTCGCCACCGTCCTCAGATTCTAGGAGGCTGATCCTGGAAGCAGAATTCAAGGCAGTTAAAGCAACGCAAGAACAACCAACTAAGAACGCCGCTAGGTAACTTCATTATAAGGTCCAGGTTCGAGAAGACGCGGAGGAGATGTTATAAGAGAGGATGAAAGATAAGTAGCTTGTTGAAGACAGGGAGCGAGAGCCTAAAAATACGCCGAGCGTGCCACTCAAGAAAGATTAGAAGAAGATCAAAAATAGGAAAAACAAGGTCAGTTAGCAGTTGAGAAAGCAGTATAATTCAGGGCTAAGGAAACTTATGACGCTAGGATGGATGCTGAGAGCATAAACTCAAAGGCTTGGCAAAATCCTTCAACTAATCCCGGCATAAGAAACCACCTAGGTAAGAGCTGTTCATACTCGAGCTAGACATGTCTCATCTTCAGTATCTTTAGACTTCATAACGGTGTGACTAACCGGAAAACCTATTGAACTACCTCATGGCCAAACGTTGGGCTAGTAGAGATTTCGTGCCAAGCAGTCTAGGATTCTCGCTCCTCGGGAATTCTTACCAGAACCCTGTTCCTGTGAAGCTTGGAACCAATCACCCTTTGGAACGGCACCGTCTACGAGATCCACGGCGGCGGGATTACGTCACGTCTTATCCCCGACCCGACCCATGAACTACTGAATCAAGTTACCAATGTCAAGCTACCATGCTGGCTTTGAGTCGTTGGATCCAGAACGGCAACGCCGACTTACAAGGATAAAGTATCAGACGGGCCTGATGTATCTCCAAGGCAAAATGGAGTATAAATACAGACCAGAAGAAGACCTGATGATGATTACTGCTCCGACCAACTCACGCCTTTCTCATCATCTACACGATTACGCGGTTCTAGAGCGAACAACATGATCCCCATTGCACTACACCTTCTAACAGCAACCGCGTTGCTGGGCAGCTTGGCAGTGGCCTCGCTACAGACCAAAAGCCTTACCACACGCGATGGCAGCACTTATGTCTATGACTACATCCCTGCCACCGGTGAGGCCAACAACACTACAGTACTCCTCCTCCACGGCTACCCTTCCAGCCGCCACGACTGGCGCCACCAGGTTACGGACCTTTCCACAGCCGGTTACGGCGTGCTCGCCCCTGACTGTCTTGGCTACGGTGACAGTGATATGCCGCTCGAAGTCGAGGCATACAATCTGAAACGGCTCGGCGGGCACTTGATGGAAATACTCGACAATGAGAATCTACAGACAGTCGTCGGCGTGGGCCACGACTGGGGCACGAATCTTCTTTCCAGAACATCCGTGTGGCATCCTGACCGGTTTGAGAAACTAGCTTTTCTCTCGCTGGGGTATAGTGCGCCGGGAGTGTTCGCGGACATCGACTTGTTGAATGCCATGAGCTTGAGCCAGCTAGGCTACATGCAATTTGGTTATTTCTACTTTTTCAACTCTTACAACGCCGCAGATCTTGCCGCCTCCAAGGTAAGCCATAATAAGACCCATATCTGACATTCTATCTTCCATCTCTTGCTTCGGCAGAGATACTGATATCTCGTACAGCTTGAATCCTTCTTTAGCCTCGCTTTTCCGATCGACAACTCCAAATGGGCAGAGAACCTTGCAGGGCTCGGTACAGCCCGCGCCTGGCTGGAGGCCAACACCACAACAACTCTTCCCAATTACCTAACCGAGCAAGATAAAGAGACCTGGATGAAGGCTTATAGTCGCAAGGGTGCAGTCCAGGCATCCATGAATTATTACAAAGCTCTGCTTCGCGGTGTTCAGGCGAAGGACGAATCGTGCTTGACCGATGAGCACCGCACGATCAAGGTGCCAGTGCTTACAATCGGTGGCACGCAGGATACAGTAACCCGAGCAGATCAGATTCGGGCTCAGACGGAGCCCTGGACAGCGGCAGGATACACGGAGAAGACTGTTAATGCAGGGCACTGGATGATGTACGAGGATCGCGAAGGTGTGAGCTCTGCGCTGTTGGAATTCCTGAAGGCCTAACCTAGTGGTAGCATGGGAGACAATGAGAGTTTGGGAAGAGCTAGATCTCCAATATAAACTCTCTAAGGATAGACCTAATGCGCTGCGTTACCTCATGTAAAAGCTCCCTTTGACCTTTCTGGAGTTTCCTACAAGTGGTAGAAAACAATCTTGTGGACAGCCCCTCTGCAAACCAGACATCGTCCAAGTTCTCCAAGATGATACAGTAGCAGGCCAGCAAAGTCATAGAACGAGGCGTCTCTTTCTTGACTTCATCAACGAAGTCTAGTGAGAGAGTCAAAGGCCATAGCCGAATTGCGTCCCAAATTGTCAGTGCAGACCCAAACTCTCGAGCTGCATTGATCGCAAGCGCCAACTCATTTGCAGCTTGAACGTAAATCGTTTGGAGCTGGTCCGATATTTGGTGTCCATCAAAGCAATCGTGGTCCAGAGCGGATAGCAAAATGGTAGCTATCTGAGATGACCGTTCATCCTCCATGATAATGGGTATGTCCCACGACGCAGCGAGAGATGCTAGTGGACCGTTACCAATTGTGTCCCAGAAGCCGCACACGAGGTGACAGCCATGCCGTACATAGTGTAGCCAAGACGATAAATAGCCAAGACCAAGTTGGCTGGCGTCGGCGAGAAACAGGTCCTCAATCCCGGATAGCGAATCAATTCCATAATTTGAAAAGTAAAGCAAGGTGTTGACATGTATAAAAGCAATAATGCCGTGACATTCGAGTGCTGATGACGGTTTTGCGTCAATGGTGGCTTCAAATACTGCCATTGCCTTGCGATGATGCTCAGAAGCCATTGCCATTAGTCTGTGGCGATCGGCGCTCTGACCTTGCTCCGTGTTAAGAAGGTGCTGAGCCGAGAGAGCGAGGATGCCATAGAGCAGGAAAGAGTTCGACGCTGCGATGCGAGGGACATTTATCTGCCATAAACGTGCGTTTCCATGCCTATTTGCAAGGGAGAGATGCGTTGACTGTAAATAATGAGCGAGAAGACTCTTGTCAGAATCTTTCAGATCCGTATGAGATTCCCAGGCATCCTGTATACCTCTAATATGGTGATCCACACTCTCCTAGAAAAAAAGGTGTTACCTTTCACAAAACTTGGCGATATTTGAACATTTCTGGGGCATCAAACCTACGCTGGATGTATCTGGTAGTTTCACAGCTGACAATGCCGGGTGAGTGAAGTACCGCAATAGATTCCCGCGAAAGAAAGTCTGGAGAGGCACTGTCTGCCAGTCTAACGCTGCACAACCAGACTTGTGGTGCTCCGCCTTCCAGTGGCTCTGCATCCGTTTGACACTCACACAAAGATGTCCACAGTCGGGATCTAGACATTGGAGACCGCTAACGACCGGTAATCCGGGCACAGGGAAGTCCTCATCATCACCGAGAATAGTTCCTCGTCGTGTACCGACGAGCTCTGAGGGCTGCTTCAATGGTAGCCTGGCCGCAAAGTCTGTGTAAGGTTGCCGAAGATGCCGGTGAAGAGCATGGATCTCCTTTAGATGTCGGTCAAGAGCGGTCGGCTGGATCGCGTACTGGCAGGATGTGCATATGATCACTTGGTGCCCTTTGTTGTAGTAAAGAAGTTCCTGTGGCTGTATTTTGGTGTCTAATTCCATCTTGGACTTCGTGTTTAGTCCGGGCGCGAGTTGTGCTAGGCATTCCGAAAAGGAGAAATCAGGTCTCGATAATATTCTATTTCCAGGCCTGTTAGATTCAAATTACATACCCTGTAGCCTGACACCCCCTGGTCTAGGAAAACTAGGAAGTTGACTACCCCCGGGCTTAGACGGAGACAAAGAACCAAGGCCTGACGCGAGACTCGATCCGCAACCATCAGATAGCGGATTCGACAAGAGTAAACCCCTTAACGCTAGCCATTACATTAACATGACTGCAATATGGTATAGGTAATTCTCGTTCTCTGAACACTGTGTCTTGAAACCATCAAGGTTGGAATTTGTCCCAAGCTACCTAGTCATGGAATTTAAAACTTGGCACATCTCGTTCCCCAAGGGAAGTGTTTAGGTGGAAATTAAGACTAGGCTATAATTAATTCAAAGAAATTCAAAAATAAAACAGAATATATTTTAGCCTGTACGATGAGGATAGACCAAAGGCGAGCTGTGGATATTATTCTAATGAAACTACCCAACTAATCTAGCAATAGGGTAGGCGGAGGGAGAGTTCCTTCTATCATCCAATGGTTACCCGCTTCACGGGATAATCAAACATGTACCGCCTGTTCAAAAAACCATCGTATTTTGGAATCATGCGCTAATATCCATCTCAGTTTCAATTTCCTCTTGGCTTTGGCACCATTTGTTCTGGAGCGCTTGATCAAGCGAGAGCGCATAAACATCCTTTGGCCACCACTCGCCCCAGCTAGTAAGGAATATCTGTTCAGGATCTTCTGGGAAGTCGCTTCGAGTGAAGGCTTCCAAGATGCTTTTCGCGCCTAATTTGTTTTGATTAGCTAAAAACACGTCCATTTGGATGTCGCAGAGCAAAGAAAACCTACCCTCTGGAACGGATTTGGCATCCTTCATTATAGCATCTGGGAATGAGAGCTTGGATCCCCTCTGTAGCCCTGTGGTTGGAATGAGTCCTGGAGAGACCGCCACGACATTGCACTGGCCAGCCAACTGCCTTCGCCACCAATGGGCGGCGAGAAGTGCCACGAACTTGGACTGCGGGTAGCTAGTCATGCTATCCTTGCCCGACCCTGCTAGGAGATCTTCATCTAGGACGCTTGGATCAGGGACATTACGCACTGCCCCAGACGAGACGAAGACCAAACGAGCCTTGGACGCGACAAGCTTTTCCCGGAGTAAATGAACTAGATAGTGTTGAGCTTTGAGGAGGGAAGTCAGTTAGCTTAATACAGGCAGGACTGGTTCACGGTATACCAACAAGTATGATTAACAATCAGGATTTCGGACCACTTCGACCCATGTGGCCCGGGTCCCTGGGCAGGGTCACTAATTGCGGCGTTCAAGAGCAAGTAGTCGATGCGATCCTCCCCTAGCTTGCCGAGGGCCTGACGCGCAAATGATTTCACATTTTTGAGATTGTTGAGCTCAAGCGGGAGCACGCTCAACGAATGCTTGCTTCGGTCAAACGAGAGCGAGCTGTAAGCATTTTCTGTGGCCTCGGTGTTCCTCGCACCTAGGATCACCTTATAAGGCTGCGCCTGTTGGAGAAGTTGCTTGATAGCCTCAAACCCCTACGTAAAGCGTCAGGTTTCAATCGTGATAGCGTTGAAGTCTCCACGAGCCGTAGAGTCCTTGCACATGTGTAAACTTACCAATCCCGACGATACGCCAGTCGCAACAACAGTCTTAGCAATGTTTGACATTGTAGGCGTGGTTTTTGAGCTGGAATAAACAAGGAAGAAACTTTCTTTGGCCTTATATCATCGACCGGCCGGGGATTTTGTAAAATGCCGATTTGTCATGAATCATCAGGAATGGAACTTTAACTGATTAGCGGGCGGGGTTAAATGCTGGAGATAAATATTATCTCACAACTCTTGCACGGACTTATCATTAGTACATTTGAATTTGTCAGCGTTGGCTAGACCAATCGCATACCTTATCTCAATAACAACACAGTACGCCGGTCTCGGTTTATTACTTTCTTGAGAATAAATGATGACAAAAATATAGGAAGAATCTATTAAGAAATAATACCATTGTGTATTCTGTATCGCAGCTAGGAGAGTTATCGTCGAAGATCTCAACACCAGAGTAATAATAATGCATGCCCTGCTCACCGTTCGGTTTGACAAATCCCAACCTTGATCCTATGCCTTAGGTTCATAAGTGAGTCTATGAGCACGTCCACTGAGTTTCTCAGCTCGCTCAATGAGTCTCTCAGCTCCTTCAAGTCTTCCTCTATAACGTTTCTGATATCCGACATTTTTTTGCCACTCGGCCAGGCTCGTACATCGTTCTCGATAGCTCGATAAAATGCATAGTCACCTGGGTTTGGGTTCTCCTTTTTCCTCTGGCTCAACTGGGCGAGATGGACGTAAGCTAAGGTGGTATTGGGGCTCTCGATGGGTAGAGAGTCAAGGGCGTGCTGTAGGAGCGAGATGTCCTTCTCCTTGTTTGCACATTCGATGGCTTGGTGGAGTTGCGCAAAAGCTGCTATTTCCTCCATACTGGGCTGTCGTTCGCTTGCCCAAAGCTGCCATGGCTCTGCGCAGATGTTGTAGATCAGACAGTCCAGCGGAGATTCACCGTTGCACCTAGTTTGCTCTATGTTGAGTTCAGACAAGTTCTGGGTCATGAGATATTCCAATACCTCCAAATTCGACATTCCAGCAGCACAGTGCATCAAGTTGTTTGAGTAATCGTCCTGAACAGTCGTGGAAGCTCCATTTTCCATCAAACAGCGAATTATTGGCAAATTGTTCGATCTTACAGCGACTAGAAGAGGGGTTTGGCCGTTAGGATCTCGGACATCGATGCTCAGCTCGCCGAGTTCGAGAACCGAGCGAAAGATCTCCCGAGCGTCTTGTTCCGAGCACCAATTGCTTGCGAGATGATGTAGAATCGTTGAACTATCCAGGTCACGGGATGAAACCGTTGCTCCATGTTCGATTAACAGGCGGACGGCCGCGGGAGTGGGATTATAGCCAGTCACGGCGTAATTTATTGCAGCGTAGCCGAAATTGCTTTTTTGATTGACGTCGTTTCGTTTACCTCCGCCTGGCCCTAACAGGACTCGCATGCATTCGACCTCCCCTTTCAATGCGGCAAACATCAGAGGTGTCATCCCGTCTTTGCCGTCCTTGATGTTGATGTTGGCGCCCGCTCTGACCAGAGCTTCAACAGCTTCTCGATTACCACGATGTGCTGAGTGGTGCAGGGCTGAGCGTCCTGTTCTATCCAACTCATCAATAATCTTAATGGAAGCACTCCCTAGCTTGTCCAACACAAGCTGCATCTCCAAGGCATCCCCGTCAATTGCGGCTTCGTGGAATGGCGTGGCTTCCGGTTCTGTTTCCTCATCCCACACGTATGAAGCCACTTTCTCAAGCATTCTCGCTTTTCGCTCATTATGTTCCCCGGACTGTATCATCGCCATTTGTTCACTTCGCACAGCATATCCGACTTGCCTGTTGCCTTAGGGTTAGTCTCTCATCGTCAGAATTAGAGTATGAGTAATACCGGGGAAAACCAGTTCGAGATAACACGCCCTTCCATTCATTGAGCAGCAATTCCAGAGCATCATATGCTTCCGACTCAATGATGATCTAAGCTCGACGCCAATCCAGTCAGAGACTATTCTGAAACAGAAACGCCATTCCAATGCTTACCGGTACTATTGTAGTCCCGTCCGTCTGTTCATCATCGGGAAAATATGACACCCGCTTCTGACTCAAGCCCATTTGCAAGCTGTCCTTGCTCCATTTCAAGAGGATCCAATGAGGTGAATTGAACCGCCTTGTGTTTACTGGGCGCATAGCAAACTCTAGAGTGTAGAACGAGCCGCCCAAGAAGAATTTAGCTGCCAATGAATACTGGGACTGCCCATCATCCATGGAAACACGCTCATTTCGTGAGCATGTACAGCCTGAAGCTGAAGAGGAGTTGTCCGCGGTGCCAGACCAACCTCTGACCTCGAACCCGCCAACCAGTGGTGAGGCCCACGTCGGACTCCGGATGCGCCAGGGCTGCTTCTGGTAGTGACATCTGCAACGGCGGGCGTATATCTGTCGCATTTTCGCAACTACTGAGGTGCGAGCCGGGTTCATTGATTGCGTTTCCGTTACTGTAACGGATGTGGAATTCTCCTCTATTGCCGGCGGTATTTCGACTTCCTTCTCATTCTCGATCTCGTAGACTCTTCTAGGGGCATCTTCTTTTGGGGTCTGAGCGTTCATGATTGCCAACGCAAAGACATTGAGTGCCAGTCCTAGATTTGCCTTTGCATTTTCGGCTTTCCTGAGGAGGGTCGAGATCCGGGTACGATGACTTATCCATACTCGCCGTTTGGCAGCTGGCTCCGCATCTGGCCGCTGTCGCTCACATTTCTTCTGGATGTCTTCTAGGTCGCGTACTGTATCCTCCAAAGTCTTCCTGATGTTCTCAATACTAGCGGGCCAAGAGGCTTTCAAACGAGTGCTGTGGCTACCATTAGAGATAGCCTCTTGGGCCTTCGATAGCTCCGTAGAGATTGCCTTAAGAAAGCCAATCTAATACCGTCTTGTTATCTCCCACCCTTGGTATATCTGCATGGAGAGAGACTACTCACCTCTTCTCTTAGCTCCTCAAAGCTCTCTGGGATGTTGCGAATGCCTTTGATAAATTTGCCCGCCTTTCCGCCGACCTCTAAGAGGGTGACGACGCTTGCTACAGCCCCGAGTACCTCCATCAGGCTTGGTCCATACTCTATGAAATGTCCTAGGAAGAAAAACGGAGGTTCTGCGATGGAAAGCGAGATCTGGCGTGTAAGGATAAGCCTTGGTGCGGGGCATCAGGCATATTTGCATCGCGCTGACTCCCGTGACCAACTGCTGCGCCTCAAATAACAAAACAAGGTCTATTACGCGAAGGAAATGCAGTTACATCGTGGCTGTTCTTCATCCAGCACTTCCGGCCAACCAGGGCTTCTTGGGAAGATGTCATTTGCTCCATCATCACTTTCTTTATGCGCTAAGGGTGACGAGACTTAACATTGACTCAACAGCGTAGCAGATAGTAGGAGGGGTTATGAAATAAATCATAAATTTGGGCAAGTTTTACTTTGTTGAAGATTTCAATCAGTATTCCAAATTGCTACAAAACTACTAGTGACTCAGCTGCACCAACAGTTCTAGGACTGGTTATCAGTCAAGACCCTACATATAAATTCCCCGCTTTCAGCCACTTTAACAAACAAGTCTGACGGAGACGAAGAGTAAGATGCAAAGAAGACAAGCGGGGAAAAGCAGAATGCATATTAGAAAATATTATTACTTCATAGCAGCTGTATATTATTTCTTCTCCTCAAGAGGAAAAGTTGTTTTTACCACATCATTGACATGGATGATGGCCTCTCTAGCACCCTCCCAAGTTTTGCGTTTGCCCGTCTCGAAATACCGGTACATATGCGCTGTCTCAACACCATCATTCATCAGCCTGTACATCTCGGGGTCCTGCCACCAAAACTTCCAGCCTTTCCAGCCCCAGCCCAGGCTTTCCATACCAGTGCCAGCAGCCTGATGAAGCCAGCCCTGGAACTCCCAGGTCTTGACAGCGCTCGTGTCGGTGTTCGGCTCGATGCGCCAGCGCCCGGCCACCCATCGCTGATGCTCGTCAACGTGCTTGTTCATGGCCTCGCGCGATGGAAAGGGCTCGAGCCCTCGCCACGCATTGCAGATCGCCAGGCTCGTCACATCGGCAAAGCTGAATCCGTTGGCCTTGCCGAAGGCGCTATAATTTATGACGGCGAGCGAGTCGGCATACTTTGGAGGGAACAGGTTCATCCACAGCCGATACATTTCAGGACCATGGTACCAATCCAAATCGGGCTTGCTTCGCTCAACAATGTCGGGTCCGAGGAGCGAGAAGTCCGCCTGGTAGCCAGTGGCCAGAATCACCGCATCTACATCGTCAACCACGGTCCCGTCGGCAAATTCGATACTCTTTGGCCCCGTGAATCGCTTGACCCCCTTTAACGATGTCAAGCTTCCGTCCTGTAAAAATGGCAGTACCCGCTCCCACACACCCGGCAGGGTCAAGCTGGGCGATGGGAACGGCTCGATCCCCCACGATGGGTCCGGCTTGCCGCCGAGCATCTTCCTACTTAGATACTTGACCCCGAGATCGCCGCAAATCCGCATAAGGTTCGGGAGATACCTCTGTAGCGACATACCAATGTTTCGACGACGCCAGGTTAAGGGGAGATGTGCGGGCGTGCCGTTGAGGAAACGCCGGACGAAGACAGCACCACGGCGGTGTGAGACGTAGACTTTCGAGGCGACAGGCATCAAAGTCGGAATGATATCGCCCGAGGAGCTGCATAGCCCCACGACGACAACATTTTTGTCTTGGAACGGCTCGGGGCTTCAGGATGAGAGTTAGTTTGAAGGAGAATTTGCACGCATTAAAGGACCTTACTCTCTGAATTGCTGTGAATGTATGACCTTGCCTTCGAAAAGCTCCTGCCCTTCAAATTTCGGGATCTTGGCCTTGGTTTGGTATCCGTTGCATACGGCGACTTTGTCGTACTCGGCAGAGGAGGTAGTACCGTTTTGCTCGAGCTCCAGCACCCAGCGAGTGTCATCAGCATTCCGACGGATTTCCTTCACCGACGTGTTGAACACGCAGTCTTTGAGCCCGTCGAAATTCCGCGCGTAGTCTTCCATATACTCCTGAAATTCATATACGTTCATATGATGCGGGTACTCTGGCGGCGTTTTAATAAATGCGTACTAAAACCATTAAGGGAAAGACTCACTATCTGGCATTGGAAAATCCGAGAAGCCGCACGTATATTTGCTGATATTTGCTTGCGTAGCTAAAGGATATTACATTGGTCAGTTGAGAAGTTCCACGTCACAGATCACACGTTTTGTCAGTTAAACTTGCATTTCAGGGCCGTCGTCCAAGCCGTGTTTTCTGTATACGCCCAGAGCCCACCGACCTGGCTGCGGCGCTCGTATAGCGTAGCGGAAAATCCATCTTCCTTCAGGGTTTTAAGCATTGCAAGGCCCGTAGGACCTAGTTTATAACATTAGCTGCGGACTATTGATCCATCACCGTAAGACTGAAATCACATACCTGCCCCTATGACGGCGACCTTTAACTTGTCCATCGCGCCGCGGACACGAAGCATCGAGTTGGTATTTCGAAAGATGGAAGGGGAAAGTTAGTGGCCCACGAATGGAGGCCTCGTCATCTCCATAATATAAACCTGCAATACAAGCAGGAAGCAAAGAACCTTGCTAAGTGCGTCTAGTGCTGACGGGAGGTCCGGCTATTCGGGATTTGATGATGTCTCGAAAAGGGGCTAGCACGCTTTGGGCTTCTCTTCATGCCAACATGCGATCCCTTCATTCGGTAATCATTTAATTAGTTTCTCCTCCCCCTGGGAGGGAGCATGTAAATCCTTCACAAAGCCAAAGATACCCATTAAAATAACTGCCGTTGTAAACTTGGCACGCTGTGACTGGGATGTTATCCACCCGCAGTCAGCACAACATGTGGAGCGTATAATGACACGCACGCTCCTTTCCTTCAGGCAATCATAATATGAGTAATCGGTTCGAACAGCGCTCAAAGGGAAATGTGCGGTTTCTACTCGGCTGCTGAGGCAATTCCACGTCCCCGAAAAACAACAGAGCGGGACAAATATCAGCCCTTTGTCGAAGAACCAAAGGTAGAATGAACGATCATGCCAGCCTCAGCAACCTCTAAGATAAGAATGTAAGAACATCAAATGTAGCGTTTGACGTCAGCGGCGATTTAATTAAGTGGAGCGCAACATTCCGCCACGAATAGCTCTTTCTTAGCAAGCATTAATCTATAGTTGATTGTCTTTGTATGGTCAGACTCAGCAGTTGGTACGTATGCACGCCAACTTGTATTGTGAGTGATGAAATGGACATGAACTCTTCACAAATTTCGGTTGGACCTCAAAGAGGGCCCTTGCAAGTATTGCCACAAAGGAAAACTGCTCCCCGACAGAGTGCAGTCGTGCAATTCTTTCAATTCAGAATGGTTCATCCTTGGCTCCAAGTGAACGTATCTACAAGGTGCCTTTTCAAAGTTAGTCAGTGAGCATAAAGAAGTTCTAGGCATCAGGCCAGCCGATTCGATCATCGGTGGAACTATGATCGGCGAACCTGATGTAAGACAGAAGACCAGCTTTTCCAGTTACTTTGGAGTGGTTTTCTTGGACCTCCTAGGTCTTGATCCTCTCGCATTGGACCCTTGGACCTTTCTAGCAGAGATTATGGCGCAACTCAAAGGCAAAGTACCTTGGACATTCCTTATGGCCCGATATTACTGCGTAAATATATACATACAAGCATATATAGGTTCTGTGTGAAGTCGCATTGTGATCCACTGGCTGATTTTTTCCTGACTCCCGGGGCTGGCGTGGGCCATGGTGAAACCTCTAACAACTGTGAGATGAAAGGATATGGTAGGAGTATCGCCGTAATTTGGTTTAGCCATTTGGTAAGATCAGTGCCTGTAAGTGGGTGAGAGGAGAGATGAGACACTTATTGGAAGAGTTGGTTAAAAACGAATTACATTCTACAGTAAATAGAGAAACTCAGTAGTTAAAAGATGAAATAAATTAACAATACACCCTAAATTATCTGCGAAATGTATATTATTAGCACCTAATAATCTTAGAATATTAGTCGCAGACTCAAGAATAAGCAGCTTATGTATAGATTGATGTCAGACTACCACCGACACGTGGGGACTCTGATCCCTGCCCACCTTTTGCAGTTTGATGCCGATGCTTATTGGAAGAAACACGCAGCCTTCTCATGCGGGGTTGGACTTTTGCAGCCTGGTGCTTATTGGGAAAAATTACGAAGCTCATGCGGGATTTCACCATTCAATCATTCTTCGTCAATCAGTAAATCGCGACCTCAAAGGCTCGACTTTTCGAATCGCGCCCGGGAGCTTTTGGATGGCCTGTGGCGGAAAATGATCATGCAAACTTCAACATGGTTTATAGGCCTTGTGACCTTTGTCATCGTCCAGTTACTATTCCTCTGGGCATTCGGTGATCACATACAGTTGATCCTACCGAAATTGCGAACCAAGCCGAAGCCGGAACCAAAGCGCAGCTTGGTCGCCAACCCGAAGAAGTTCCAGACATTTCGCATCTCTAATATCCCCCAATCAGTGACCAAAGTCAAGTTCCGCGAGGCCCTAAACAAGCTGTCGGGAAAGGACGCTCAAGGGGCCTCCAATATCTCCGCTTTCTCGTTCGAGCCCGCTGCATCGTTTGGGCTCGCGGATCGATTTCGCGTGGCATGCGTTACATTCGTTAATAGCCCGGATGTTACAAGTTTAGAAAGCACTCTAAAGGGCGAATTCGGCATCGAAGCAGATCGGCTCAGGACTGACAGCGACTTTTTTGGTATCACGCCAATCTACTCCCCACCGGAGAATCCAAGTGTAGAGTAAGCCATCTACAACCTGTTTCACTTCACTCGTTTCCTCTCCTTTTTTCTTAAGAGCTTGTGGCTAACTAATACGTAATTCTCAATTATTGTTGCCGTTACTGGCCTCTCCGGACATGCGTTCGGGTCATGGAAGGCTAGAGGGCAGCCGGCCATGTGGCTCCGAGACTTCCTCCCTGACTCTGTTCCAAGGGCACGTATCTTGACATATGGATATGACACAAAGCTTCCCGGGAGTCAGTCCGAGGCTTCAATCACCGATTTAGCTAGACGACTGCTAGAATCCATCAAAACTACCCGTGGAGAAAAGGCAGTATGTAGACCGAAAGAATAGCCCCCATATATTACAACTAACGCCCAGAAGCGGAACAGGCCTCTGGTATTTATCGGGCATAGTCTTGGAGGGCTAGTTGTCAAACAAGTTAGGAACTCCCATCCTGCATAAAGACATATTCTGAATCTGACTGACATTTTTTAGGCACTAGTCGAGGCTTTTGAGGGTAGCGACGAAGATAAAACCGTCTTCCGGTCCTGCTTCGGTCTAATGTTTTTCGGTGTCCCGAACCGGGGTCTTGAAAATTCTAGCCTAATGGCAATGGTTCGCGGGCAACCTAATGAGTCGCTCGTGAGAGATCTATCCGGATCATCTCGATTCCTAAGCCTTCTCCACCGTCTATTCAACAAAACCTTCACGCTCGAAGACTCAACTATCATTAGCGTATATGAAACCAAGGCGACGCGGGCAGTCCAGGTAAGTAATCCCTGCTCACTTCAAAGTGTGTTTGTTAATCAATCCAAGTGGTCCCCTCAAAAAGGTTCCTGGGATAGAACTGGACCAGCAATTATGATGGTGGAACAGGCGTCTGCCACCCATGCCGGGCCTAGCGAGATGACATATGATCAAATATCAATCGATGCAGACCACTCCGACATTGTCAAGTTTGAAGACCAGTCAAACCCGGACTATATTATTATCGCATCAAGAATCACCCAACTGGTAGAAAAGGGACCAATTATTGTGAAGGCGCGGTTCGCTGAGTATCGCCGGAGTAAGACCACCAGATCGACCATGCCAGTGATGAAGGGACCTAATTAATACCAAAATACAGAGCTCTCTCGGCTAGAGACACAGTTTATTCAATCTCTCAACGTCCCCAACTACGGTGCATTTCGGAACGACATGGTCGACGATCCCACCCCAGGAACTTTAACCTGGATCCTGGACCAAGACTCTTTCTCGAATTGGAGAACTTCCGAAGAACCATCAGTACTTTGGATCAAAGGGTCAGCTGGCCAAGGCAAGACGACACTCTCCAAGTTTCTTTTAACCCATATGGAGAAGGAATCCAGCGCAAGCCCAGAAACGAAAGTGATTTTCTACTTCTTTTACGGACAAAATGACATACTTTCAACAGTTGGGTATGCCGTGAGATCACTCATCAGACAACTCCTCAATGTGCGCGATGTCGATACATTTGGGGCCATCGCAGAACTAGTTGAGTTAGACAACACAGCTGACATGTCTGAGGATGGGCTGTGGGAGATCCTTGAACATCTGTTGAGAGCTCCTGTTCTTCAAGAGGTACTCTGTGTCATTGACGGATTAGACGAATGTCAAAATGCAGCATCAAGGCTTCGCCTTATTCGGCTCTTCAGCAGGCTTGCCCAGCCAAATAGAGCCAAGAATAAATCGCCGGTTGTCAGAACAATCTTTACAAGCCGCCCCACTGTTGATATTGAGCAGCAACTATCACGATCTCCTAGTTTCCACCTGGTCGCCAATCCTCAAGATTTACAGGTGTTCGTCAATCACGAGATAGGAACACTCGACCTTGATCCTAAGTTGCACAAAGACGCTGTTGCACTCCTCTTGACTCGCGCCGAGCAGACATTTCTATGGATATCGTTGATTGTCAAAAAGCTGAAGGCTGAAGCTCTGCTATCCTTGGCAGATATTGAGCGAATCATCAAATCAAGTCCCTCCGACCTCGGAAATCTATATCAAGGTATTGTTTCAGACATCCTAGCCAGAAGCGGCGAGAGCCAAAAGAAGCTCCTTCTGTGGGTAGTCTACGGTCGTCGGCCACTGGCACTCTCGGAACTCGAGGACGCGCTTTCTATACAGGAGGATTCTGACTCGATTGGTTCCATTAGATCGGGTCGAGCCAGACTCACGAAGCATAACGTCTCCCGCGCCGTCGGAATCATCATCGATATCCGTGATCTCGATGACAGACTCTATTTAATTCACCAGTCAGCGCGAGACTTCCTTGTTACCAGCGACATTCTGAGTCCTGCTGCCTTTTGCTGGAATTTGAAGCCAAACTTGTACCTGGCCAAGGCGTGTTTGATTTACTTGAGTTTTGATGATTTCGGCTCCCACAGCGGGAGCGAGTTTCCGAATAGCTTTCTTTTACGATATGCCTCACAAAACTGGCACCGACACATCGGTAATGACTTAGATGGCATGCACAACTTGGCAAGTCTGATTCTCCGTATCACGGAGCCTCGATCGTCTGCCCTACTCACTTGGGGCGGTTCTGCAGGCCTCTATGACATCCACAACGCAAAGACTCGCTGGGACGTGGCCACTCAGGCAAACATAACCTGGCTTGCAGATTTCGAAACCAGCGGTACCATCATCAGCCCAGAAAAGGTTTCTGCTGCTGCAGCTAATGGAATGGCGGGCTACAGAACTATCGTCACACTGATACAAAGCCAGCGTGCGCGATTCACAGATGAGGCTGTAGTTTCGGTCGCCCGGTATTTCGACTCCGAGATGGTCAATCTCTTGCTGGAGAGACAGGACTCAAAGATGGAGATTAGTGAGGACTTGCTAATCGCAGCTGCACGAAACCGGCAGCACGGTGTGGCCATTATTCGCTCACTCATCGAATCAAGTCGAAAGATCCACGTTACGAGTGACGTCCTGACTGTGATTCTAGATGATCGGTCCAACCGAAGAGAAATTGTTGATATTTTTGCGCAGAGTGGCAATGCTACGTTCACTGAGAAGGCAATCGACCAAATGGTCAAGCTCAGGGACTGGGTTATGATACAGTCATTTTTGGACGAGCGGGAAGATTGCGACACCCCCGACACCATGCTTCAGATCGCGTCGGCCCATATACAGCCTGCGGAGGAGACCATGATACGACTTATTAATCGAAGTCGTCCAGATATTGAAATCTCAGATGCAATCATAACGGAGATGGCGTTGAATGGCGTATCAGCTTTCAGGTGCTTTCTCAATAAGTTCGGCCATGGGATTGTTTGGTCCGAAGACTTTCTTCAATCTTTGGCCCAACTTGAGGATGAAAAGCCTCTCGAGGCTCTGATTAAGACGCAAGGCCATGATATCGTGATTACAGACGCAGTACTTGAAAGTGCGGTGCTGAATAAAAGGACAGTTAACATCACACGGTTGATCCTGGGAGAACCACACTGGAAGTTGGAAATATCCGAAAGACTAGCGGAGCGAGTAGCATCTGCAGGAACTACAGAAATGATGACGTTACTGCTGGAAATCAAACACGATGAAATCAAGATCACTGATAAATTAATCATATCCGCTTTTTCAAATGATGAGCACGCTGATACCATGGTGTCGCTGTTATTTGAAAATCATGGATCAGATTTGTTGCTCAGCGAGGAAGTCGTGGAAGATGTGGCTTGGTTGGGGAAGCCAAAATCCGCGGCATCACTACTTCGCGTGTTTGGAAACAGGTTCAAGGTCACCGACAGGTTGCTTCAGGTTGCGGCAGCAGAGCATACGATAGTGGGCGAGGTATACAATCACAAAACCAGAGAGTTCACTCGGCCTGCAGGAGACCTGTCCTTGCTGGAACTCCTTATCCAGAACAGACGGGCCGACGTGGAGGCTGCCATCACGGAAGAAGTATGTTTGGTAGCAGCCTCTGTGAACAACCGCCGTGCCCTCGACCTTCTTTGCGGCGATGATGGGTTCTTCCAACCGAAGAAGCAATGGTACAATGTGGCAAAACTTAGGCATGAAGTCATCAACAGGCACCCGTGGAAGGTCAGAGACCTGCTTCTCGACGATACGCTACCTAACGTCAGGGACTTCAAGAGTGGGATGACGCCCTTGTGTTTGGCTGCTTATCGGGGATTCTTCGATGTTGTGAATGTCCTTCTGTGGCGGAAGGAGGTGGAAATTGACGTGCAGGACTACAGAGGAAGAACTCCGCTGTTTTGGGCCCGTCTCTATGGATATGATGATGTTGTCACCCTACTGAGGAATGCGGGCGCCAATGATAATCTCAAGGATGATAGGGGCGAGACTCCAACAGAGGCCGGGTCTTCTGGGGCGGAATACCTCTTAAGGGCCGTTAATCAAGCAGAGCAGCCACCAGAGAGAAGCTCTGATGGGGTGAGGTCTAGATATCGGGAGAGAGAGACCAGTGGGAGGCGTCGCGCGGAAGGTCACAGCACGACAAACGAGAGAAGTCGGTCTCGAGGTCGAAGAAGGCCTCGATATTGAGACATTATACGTAAGAGAAAGAGAAAAATTCCATCAACAATGAAGCTGCCAGGGCCCGGAACAACTCTACGCAGTGAATATTAATAAATAAAGAATTGCCCAGAGGGAAATTTGAAGTGATCATGTACTAGCAGTTGTGTGATCCTTCAGTAATGCTACAAAATATATAGATGCAGCTATATACACAATGCTTCGTTCACCGTGCAAGTGTCCAACGGGATATGACACATCAATCCCGTTAATGAGAGATGCGCTCCCTCATCTTCAACTAGGCATTCAAGGTGCCCCGACTTGCCCATGCCGTCCATTACAATGCTCACTATTCCCCACTTCGGGGCTGTGTATGCAAGGGTCGCGGGCTGGTTTCGGCCATGGAGAAATACCGCATGACACTTGGGCGTATGAATTCAATATTTGCTAATTAGCGAATTCAAGTCTGCCTTAACGGATGACTTGTCAGTCGATCATCTTGAATTTGCCCAAATAGGTTTCCTGGTCGTAAAATGCCATCCGGGAAACTACTTCGTGCACCACTTCAATCGGCCGGAAATGGGTCGAATTCCAACCGAGCCGTCCGTATCAGATCCGACTCGGCCGACCCACACTCCGACCCGAAGTCCGCTCCATGACTGCAGGGGCCGATATTGCACTGCCCGCCTGGATCGTACCACCTCATCTCTTTATCGCCAGCCAAGGCGAGCTTTAATGAATCCGCGCCAAGGGATCACCTTCAGGCACTGGGCTGTCAGCGAATCCCTGTAAAGGGTCGGGCACCAACCAAGACCGCCTGCAGAGTGGCGCTGCTACATCACCGGGGTGCAGGCAAGGGCACTGCTTCACCACCGATGCATCATGCAAGCATCCCTGATTCTAAGGGACAGGAACATCCTTCGGTGGTGGAAAGATGTCGGCTCGTCTCGATATAGCCCTCCCACGATCACAAAAGTAAAGTCACCGAAGTGAATTCGTAGGTTTCTTTCCTATTTTCGGTAGAATAGGCGCCAGGGATAGCAAGGAGAACACATAATCATAAGTGACAAGCAAGTCGTTATATATGACTGCTCATCGGGAATTTCATTGACGAAATTAGATGGCTACAGCCCTACAAATCAAGGCGAGATAAGCTTGTGCTGGTTGGCAACACAGCACTAAACTGTGGCTACTGAACAACGTACCCTATAGCAGGAGACATAATATCTGAAAAGTATACAGCCCATATAAGACCACATTGTAATTTCGGTGTTCAGCTTGTCATTGGCTTTCTTATTAGCAATTAAGAGAAAGGGGAGTGCAGCTAATAGGTAACCTTTCTACAACGGTCTAATTCTTTACGCATGATGAAGCCTAATCTATGAATCACGGATGGAACAACCCCCCCCCTTAATGGCAAAGGTACACGACAACGGAGTAATCGAGTGTATTATTTGGTAAAGCGCTCAGTGCTCAATTAATTACACATTGACGTAAGATTACTAGGTATTCAAAAAGTCGTTATATATACAATGCCGTTACTAAAATCGAGACCTGATGCGCACAACTATAGCCCAGCCCGTCTTGCTCTCCCACAGTCCCATCTCGTTCTCTCGTCTGAACGTAGTCTCCTCAGCCCGCGCCGTCATTATAGGGATCCCCTCATCTATTGGAACGGCCCGCGAGGTCGACCCGGCCGAGGGTGGGTGCCGCGGCGGCCAAACTCGCGAGGGATCTGAGAAGCTCTGCAAAAATGCACGAACCATGTTCGTACTGGCCTTTGGCGGAGGCGCACGGCTCGAGGTAGACTTTGCAGGATTTGCGACCGGAGGCTGCAGCTCGTTGGCGAGACGTTCAGCCATGTATTCGTCCGACCACCAAAGCGCGGAGCCTCCCGCATCATCGTCGGTGGGGTCATCGTCGAATCTTCCCCAGTCCGCGAACCCCGTGCCCTTGCCTCTCGATCGGTTAGAATATGATGTGTAGTCACTCCGGGAGTCCTCGCCATATGACGAGCTCTTCTTCTTCTCGCTGTAGTCTATCTGCTCCCCGATTCTGAACATCCGCTTGACCTCCCGCCTCGACTTCTCGCCCGGGTCGCTAGGGGCCCATTCAGGCCCGAGCGCCGCGGCAGGCACAAAGGTGGACTCGAGCAGAATCGGCGGAGGTGACATTTTTTCGACCGAGGAGAGCAGCGACCTCACATTATCGAGGATCTCGGTGAGGATCTGGCCGTCGGTGCCGAGTTCCCTGGCGGGGGATTTGTAGTCATAGTCTTTGCGGTCGGATTTACCACCGAGGTCGTCAGAGGCGGAGGGTGAGTACGGTGGAGGGAGGTCATCGTCATCAGGGAGATGTCTCGAGAGATGGTATTTGTCCATGATGCAGGTGGTTCAAAGAGGCGTTATGGGGAAGTGATATGCCAGTAGTTGGGGAATGCGTGTTTTGGTGGGATGGCTGGAAGGTTTGAGGCGGGGCAGTTTGAGACATGCAGCAATCCCGCGGACCGAGAGATGTAGGTACTAGGTGAGGTAGGCAGCCTCAGACACGAGATCAAGGCTAGGATGAAGAAGCCTCGCGCTTATCTTGTGGACGCGACTCCGTGATTTGGCGCGACCGGAGATGGAAGGTTTAATGTGACGTGTGCCTAGGATGTTGACAGTATGTAGCCAAGGCATGCACGAGGCTGGATGGTGAGAGAACTAATTTCCAGGCGGCCATGTGACATTGGAGACTGCCCCGGCCAAGGCCCAGCGTCGTGCTTTAGGGCCCATGTCCCCTGTCAGCTGTCCCTACGCCCCACTGCCAGCGCGCCTTGCGCCCAGGACTCACAGCGGTTGGGCACCGACAAATGCGACTCGGCCGGTCGAGATGCTACATATCCGGGCGCAGACCCAATGAGGGCGATCCGGAAACGATTGGATCGGGTGATTGAGGGACTGATTATCGCCGCTCCCTTGTAGATCAAGGGTCCTGGCGCCCCGTTGGAGCTGCACTGAGAAAGGTGAAGCTACGGTGAACAGACACTACACGTACACAGCCCCCTTCAGGTTTGCGGCTGAACATATCCTCTGCAGGTAACTGGAACCAGCAATGAAACAGCGCATGTACGCGCGCATTCCTCGCTTGCCAGCGCGTACTCATACGAGGAATAGGCACACAGGCTAAGCGAAGGGGCCACCCGTGTCGGCCGGATGCTACCATTCATGATCAAACCAGGCCACTTGTTGCTGATTCCTCTGGCAAGCAATTACTCACTGGCCATAGGCCCGTAACTGTGCCCGGAACCGGGACCCACAACTTCTCGCCCGGTTTGTGTGCCTCCTCCAGGCCCCCAAGCACGCTAAGACACAAGCGAGTCCGCCACCACATGCACTGGGAAAGGATACGCCTAGCGCCTGGCTCCAGCGAGGCACAGGCACTGAAGGGAGGGCTAGAAGATTTCCAGAAGGGACCTGCAGGGCCAGCCAACAGGTATTTCAGCTTGCCCCATGTGCTGGCCAAAGCTGCCAAGCTGTTTGAATTACCGCTGTACCATTACACAGCACAGCCTCGCTCTAGCATGTTTATTACACACACCATTAATGTCTGCTAACAAGGATCAATCGTCGCTTTTGCGGCGTGTACCTGTTAAAGAACATACCTGCTTCACCTAAAGTTCCTTATCGAGCGGCGCGGATAAGCGGAAGGCCATCACATGACAGCCCCAAGGTTTGTTCAGTCCCCCCCAAAGACGCCCTGCCCCATACTCCATGCACATCATAGGGCAGAGCCTAAACTAAAGGGTGGCTTGGCATTGTTTGTGCCTTGAGTGTATTGTCCTTGGCAGGCAGCCTCTGATTCGAAGCAGGCAGCCTGCATGATTCTTTATTTAAAGGCACGCTGCCACCCGCCCTTCTACACGATCTCTTCCCATCAAACTTCATAATATCGAATACCAAGAGATCATCTCACACTTGTGATCATCATCAGATATAGTTGACCTTCCTTTCAGTCAGTCACTACCAACCATCTATCTTAGCTCAACAACCGCCACCATGTCCTACAGAATCTCGGCCCCCGACGAATACCTTGCTATCACTGGCATGGGCGTCGAGACCGTCAAGATCACTAAAGCAGCATGGATTTGGCCCTTCCAGAGATGCATGCGCTTCAGGTACGTCGCCACACTTTGAATTATCACCATGTGCCACATCGTCTAACATCCATCCCCAGCGTGCAACCGCATGACTATGCCATGGACCTGCAGGCCATGACCAAGGAGAAGCTTCAATTCTCTCTGCCCGTCGTCTTCACAGTTGGTCCAGACGTCAACCAGCGGGGGGCAAACACCCAACATTATGACGCTGGGTCAGAGGATGGATCCGAGGGCGGCGCTCGCCGTCGTGAGGATCGGGGGGACGCACTTATGAAGTATGCCATGCTCTTGGCCGACTCCGACACCAGCTCGAAGAACCCCCAGCAGCAGGTGCATGTCGGGAACATCGTGAAGGGCATCATTGAGGGTGAGACCCGTGTCCTCGTCTCCAGCATGACGATGGAGGAGATCTTCACGGAGCGAGAGGTTTTCAAGAAGCGCATTTTCCGAAACATTCAGGGTGAACTCGATCAGTTCGGTCTCAAGATCTACAACGCCAACGTAAGACCCATCCCATCCCTTCATTCTGATCCCGAGCAAAAAGTATTCTAATGTGATTGGATATCCAGGTCAAAGAGCTCAAGGACGCTCCCAATTCCGTGTACTTCGAGTCGCTGGCCCGCAAGGCCCACGAAGGCGCCACCAACCAGGCCCGAATCGATGTAGCCGACGCCCAGCTGCGCGGTAACGTCGGAGAGGCCAAGCGCAAGGGTGAGCAGGACCGAGAGATCGCCAAGATCCACGCCGAGACTGCCGTCCAGAAGACGGAGCGTGATGTCGAGCGCGCAAAGGCCGAGGCCCACCTCCAAACCCACCAGGTCCGGTTCAACCGCGACGTCGACCTCGAGCGCACCGCCGCCAAGCGTGCCCTCGAGGCCAAGGACGAGGACCTCCGCAAGGACGTCGAGATCCGCCGCGCCATCGCCGAGACTGAGCGTCTCCGTGCCAAGGACGTCGTCCGCGCCACCATTGAGCGCGAGAGCAAGCAGCAGGCCGCCGACGCAGCCGCGTACGAGGTCGAGGCGGCAGCCAAGGCCTCAGCCGAGGGCAACCAGAAGCAGGCCGACGGTGAAGCCTACGCCATCCGCGCCAGGGCCGAGGCCGAGGCCTACGCCGCCCAGAAGCAGGCTGAGGCCGACTGCATCCGCCGTGCCAAGGAGGCCGAGGGTATCGCCGCCCTCGCCCAGGCCTACGGCCAGATGTCCACTGCCTTTGGCGGCCCCGAGGGTCTGCTCAAGTGGGTCATGGTCGAGAAGGGCACCTACGTCGACCTGGCCAAGGCCAACGCCGATGCCATCCGCGGCATGGCTCCCAAGATCAGCGTTTGGAACACGGGAGCCAACGGCGGCGCTGGAGGCACCGGCCAGCAGGATCCTGCCGAGACCATGCGCGGCGTCTACCAGATGCTGCCGCCTCTGATGACCACCATCCACGACCAGACTGGCATCTCCCTACCCGAGTGGCAGTTTGGACGCATGGCTGCCGGCACCGATGCCGTTGCCAAGGAGGGCAAGTCTGTGCCCCAATAAGTTCGTTCTTGAACTTTGATTTCCCTCTCTGGCGCTTATGGCTGCCTAATACGCTCTACTTTCTACCTTTCGAGTGTTTTCTCGACTTTCTCTGCTTTGTTTTCTTGCCCTGGTTTCGATTGCCTAGCGATGGAAGCTGGAATACGTTTTGATACTTGATACCCCTTCTAAGTATTTCGTTTCGTTTGTCATTTGGGAGGTACTCTGACACTTTGTCGTTATCGTATTTCCTTTGTCATGGCTGTTGAGGTTAATATGGGTATTACCAGATTGTATCGTTAGAAATGCCATACAAATATCTCAACATTAGTATCAAAGCTTATCAGACCAACTTGTGATAACTAGATGAACCAACGTAGTATCCTGATGAGAGTTAGGGAATAAAGTTGAAACCAGCACGGGAAGCGGCCAGACCTGACATCTCAACATGATGTCGACTTTTCCCTTCTTTTTCTCGTAAATGGGGTATCATATTTAGTCCTGATGAGAGGACATTAACTCAACTTATCATAGTTAGTCTAGAAAGCGCGAGTCGTTTACCGGTTAACACCAGGGACTACAAAGGCTACTAGGCTCTCTCACGTCCCATTTCTTCGTCGCTATAGCAAATTTCCTTCCACTTGGACATCAGATCTTGTAGTTATGTTTCTACTCCTGCTAATATGGCAGAGAAGTCTTGGGGCCAAGCCTCGCGTCAGCACCATATCATACCCCACCGCTCGCTTATTATTACTGATGCTTTCAAGCGGGGCTGAGGCAACTCAGCCACGTTGTATCTGACAAGGAAGAAGCGATACAAAACTGACGACGACTCGTTTCATCTCAGAACGTTCTCTGTCTTTCATACATTCCATCCACCAATATTGAACCCCTGCTAAACCAGCCCAGCACCTCTTCATCAAAATGGCGCTCAAACCGAACATCCAATCCCTCCCAATGGAGGTGCTGGATTACGTATTCGCCCATATGGACGACAAGGAGTCTATCAAGCAATCTCGCCTCGTTTCTCGGGCCTTCAACAACGCAGCTACTCCATATCTTATAGACAAGGCGCAAGTCCGCGTAACCTCCGAATCCCTATCACGACTCGAGGAGCTCTGCAGCCATGATATATTTTCCAAATCCATCACCAACGTCACCATCATTCTCTCCCAGTACGATGTCGGCCTGGCCATGGATCAATCTCTTTTCATGCAGGATTGCACCGGGCGCTTACTGCGGAATATGGAGATGCGCGAACGCATGGGAGCCTACAAATGGCGTCGCATGATCGCCAGTAGGTGCGGCAAGAGAGTGCCGCCATTCAGCTTCCAGGATAAAAGCAGGGAGGACGCTCTCCAGAGAGAGATTGAACAGCAGCTTTGGGGACTGATGTACTTCAATCCTGCGCTCCTCGAGATCTCGGAAGAAGGTTTCGATGAGAATGAAGCTACTCCGTTTCAACAGGTCGCCATGCGACTCTACACCACATATAGGGAACGATGCCAAGATCAGGAGAGGCTTCGCCACGGGAACAACCATGTTGACCGGATCTGTTCTGCGCTGACCAAGCTTCCGAACCTCTGTAACCTGCGCCTCAACGACCCCTACCTTTTAGTGGACAAGGAGTTGCAAGCTTCTGATTTCCCGGATCTCGGCTTTGATCGGAGGATGTTGGAACACTTCGACTGCATACTCTCGCCTTCGCGGTGGTGCGGCTCGCATACCACGAGGTCTACCATTGTCCCACCGGTTGAGATGTTGGGAGAGCTCTGCGCCCGGCTTGGCCAAAGCGGTATCAGACCTCGATCAGTATGGGTGAGAATGACCACACCCGCGGACCTGTGGCGCGTCACGTTGTCGAGGGAGCAACAGGCCGGCCTCAAGCTTCTCATGTCTAAAGTCAGTCATGCTAGGATGGACGTGGACGGGATGGAGACTCATGAGCGGCCCAGGGATGGCTTCCTCGGCCTTTGCTCTTTCACCAAGCCCTTCTTTACAGCTCCGAATCTAGAAATGCTACACATCAATTTTGACAATTATACGTCTAGCTGTCGAACGCCCGAGGCCGGCTTATCTTATCTCCTACCCTTGGAGAACCCTTGGCAACACCTGGATACTCTGATTCTCAGATACCAGCCCGCTACCATCGACGATTTGAGGGCGCTTGTTACTCTACAAGCAGATACTCTCACGAATTTCAAGTGGGACTATGGTTGGCTTCTGAGTGGCCGTTGGTCAGAAGTAGTGGAACTGTTACGGGGTTTCCGAAAGCTCAAACAGGTGTCCTTGGAGTACCCGAAGGGTGAGTACTTCGGGACACAAAATACTCCTACAGGTGACGTTCCTTATGACGAAATGCGTAGCTACATCCTTAGGGAGACGGATATCAATCCTTTGGTCGCTGAGCATACAAGCTAGATCTCTATATACGCGGGAATGAGATACTGGCCGAAAAAATAACTTAGTTACTAGGTGTTAATAATATCTTTGACTCTCAACGGTTTTCGAAAAGTTGTGTTCTTAATTTCTAGACCTGGGCTTTTTTACTTCACTATACATTACTTACAGAGACATTGCCAGGTATTGTGCTTTTATTGATGATTATGAATTAGTATAGCTTGAGAATTTGGGAGACTGTCTGCTATGCTAAATGATATTTCTTCCCGCCTGAAGCTAAAGTGACTATGTAGGTATCATACATATCTGATAAATGAGATACTCGTACAGTTTAGATTCCCTGGCGTAGGTAGGGGGTTAGAAGAAGCAGATTGCCAAGCAACTCCTTGGGAATTGTGCCAAGCCGTTTACTTCGGCCTGAACATTAAATAAAATTGGGACGTTACTTTTTTAAGCTCTCCTGTGCGTGCAACCAATGAAAATACGTTCGCATTCGTAGCTGATGGGTAGCCCTCGGTAACAATGATCTCGATCTGGGCATTAATTGAACCCTGTATCAGGCTTGCCATGTATGCATTTTAAAGGGGGCGTAATGTGTCTCGGACTTCAATAATCCCTCATACAAAGCGACAACCGTAGCTTGCCACATATTTTTGCAGCAAGTATCCCCCTGCCCAGAGTAGCAGAGGAGCCACTTCAGCGTCTACGCCGCTGCTTTGCCTTGCACTGGCCGTTGTTTTCATAGGCCAGCAAGTGAGCAAATGGCCAAGCCAATTTCAAAATCGTTCGCCTACTCCGCTTTCAGTGGTACCATAAAGATATGTACAGAATAGGGAGTTAAGCACTGTTCAGAGAATGCCTGTGTATAACTCCTCTAGGTCTTCGGGAACGTAGCTTACGATGAAAGTCACCCGTTCGTCTTAGCAGCTCCCTCTCCTCCTCTCGTATTTGCACTAGAATTGACCATCATTAACACTTTAGCATCTAAACCGATCTGAAAAGTCGGACATGTCGCAAACGGACCCTATTGCCCCTATTGTCACAGCGTCTATACCACCAGGACCAACTGTCTGGTCGTTAGCTCTAGATACCGGCAGGTCATTAGCTCTGGATACAGGGGACGGCTCTTCCCTAATCATTCAGACTGAGTTGCCTAGAACTACATCGAAAAATGTCGAAGGGGTACCAAACTTGGCCTCGGAAACCGTCAGCAATGCTTCCACTACGATCCAATCGCAGAGTATGGGACAGAATACGACAAGTCCTTCGTCTCCCGGCCAAACCAGTAACAGTTGGTTTCCTGTTGATCCCCCCAAAGAATGCTGGATGACTCTCACCTAACTGATAATCTGAAGAAACTTGGATCGCAGGTGCTGTGATCGGACCAATCGCTTTCATCCTTCTGCTTGCAGGAGCCTTCTTCCTCGGACGCCGTAGCCGAAGATCGGCGAAGTCGCCCAGGAGTTTCAGCCGTCTCAACAGCCATGAAATGGGCCAGACTGGGGAGAAACCGCCGGAACAAGCACCCATGCCCGAACTACACGAAATCGGCATTGTTCCTTCCCAAGAACTTTACGGCTCGTTTCCAGAGCATCCAACTGTTGCCGAAAAACCTTCCAACGAACCATTAGCCCAAGAGTTACCCGCTTCAATACCCCAGGCCAAGATAAATGGAAAGGGATGTTGCGACAAGGAATACGGGGCTGGGCTGATACCGGACAACTAAAACACTGTTCTCAGCGAGAGGGCTAAGCTTTTCCTCTGCACATACCGGATTAGTCAGAATGGTTAAGTATACAAGAACTTCAAAATCGGGCAAATGAGCTGCCTTGAGCAGAAAGGGTGCTCATTTGATTGCTCCTGATTACACAGCCCGGCACGATGCCACTCGTCCTAGTTCTACCATCTCGGGCTCGATCTAAGAGCCGCCCAGCGCAGTAGCACGTTTGGTCCTCACAATGAGAAACATTCTAATCCAACACAATATTTGGTGCGATTATTCCACTGGAGGTTGTGGTACCAGAATGCAGACCCGTCCCCAGTCCTGATGCTTTGGCAAATAAATGGAGATGCTTCCGCAATATGTGTCAGAAGTCCAGTAGTTGTTTGTTTCCTCCATGATCTTCCCACCCTGAGGGCTCTAACTTACGCTATATAGATCCTTTGATAGTAGAGGCCGTTATTCAAGCCCTCGTCATAATACTGCGTCTGATGCGGGCCTTATTCCTCCGGTGTCGACGGCGCAAGTCCTCGAAACCGAGAAAGCCTAACCGTGAAGAGCGTCGAGTTCAACAAAATTCAAAAGGACAGGCACTTTGATGCGAACTTCATGCCGACTGCGTGATGCCCTGCCCGGGAACTTTACGGTTTGCTTCTAGGGCACCCAGCTTTTGCCGAGAAGCCTTCGAACGAACCTTCAGCTCAGGCATTGCCTGTTGCTTGACCGAAATCCAAAACATATAAGACATGAACATAAATAAAAACCGCTATGTGAAGGAAAAGGGTGCACCTCCTGTCTGAGGGTGAGAAGCTATATCAATTTTGGACGAGTCGACATTTTGTGGGCAATTATCCGGAGGGACGTGAGTTTCGGGGTTTCTTAACTCTTAGAAAGTGAAGATCATCAGTGGGAGAACTCTATCATTACCAACATTATGGGTGTTTGAGCATAATGCTAGATGAGCAATGATGGAACTTAGATTAGTTGAGGTATGTCACCACACCACTAGAATAAGGTCGATGGATTAGCAATGAGCATATGAACATAAGAAAGATTTACAAGATCTTAGTGCCAATCTTTGGGGTTTCAGAAATCAGCTAACGGGGACTGTTTAAAGTTCAAACATGGCGCTTACAGCCGGAGAGAAACCATAGCTACCTCTAGGTCTTGACCAGACCACCTAAATTTGTATTTAGGAAGGCTGGAAACCACGCAAGGTTGTACTCAGTCGAGTCCATGATGATATGCACTTATGTGGGACTCGATACTCGTCCCGCAAGGTGGTCTGTGAGCAGATCCTTTCTTCATAGCGAGAAAATGGCTGGTTGGTTAGCACTACTGCCGGATGTTGGATGCACTAGAATGCCGACGCAGCCGTGCTGACGTTGGAACATACGCAACGAAGACTGGCACATTATAAATACCAGGCATAGTCTCACCGCAAAAGAAAAATTTGCTGCTCCGTATCCATTTCTCCTCGCATTGGTCATGTCTAGCCTTCAGAACATCAACTCGGCCACTCTGGGCGTGTCTATGCCCGAGATTACCTTGCCTGATGGCAGCAAGGTTCAAACAGGAACCGTCGGGTAACTAAAGAACTCAAGAAGACGTCTAGATCAAGCGCTTGCTAAGACAAAACGTGAATAGGGCGCTTTTGGTTAATATCAAAGCATACAACCAAGCTCACGCGACACAAGATAGAGCTTCAATGGCGCAGCTTGAGCCTGCTATTAAAGCAGCTATACCTCTTTTGAGCAAGGTCGGCATGTTTGAATTATTTTCTGCCGAAGAATGGATCCAAGGGGATAATGAGGGTCGCAAATTTGTCGGGCGGGCATATCTCGACTACCAAAAAGAAGGGCGTGACTGAGACACTTCTCGTCCCTCAAGCGAGCGTTAAGAATATGTAAGAAGTTCTGAATATTTGCAAGGAACTTAAAAGGGAGCCTTGAGTACGATGTGGGCTGTAAGTGGGAAAACATTGTTTAGCAGCAGTTTATGAGTTCTAGGGCTGTAGACTGATAATTTAGGCCTCTCATGAAGGTTATGAGGAAGCTTGAGCATGAGAGAACACGGCTGTGAGAGTTCGAGTAGCTAGACTCACACAAAGAAGAAGAAGAAAAAATCGGAAATACAGGATGCCAGACCCGATATCTCAACACAATAAATACCCTCATTGTGTACGCAGTTGAGGAACTCGAAAAGGAGCTTCGCTCGTAGCTGTGATTCATATGTACCGTTATATATATTCACAATGGCGTACATGCCCGATGCCACATCGGCTCTATTCCTTAACTTGAAAAACTCATTCACTCAACTAAGCCAAGGCAATCTTGGCACCTCCTGGCACAAGTTCAGTGAAGACACGGTCAGGATCATACTTGTCCCTGACGGCTTTCATCTTTCGCAGGTTCCTTGCTCCATATGCCGGGAAGGTCTCAGGGATCTGAGACTTTTGTATGTCACTAAGATACATGAACGGAAGCGGCCCCAGCCCAGCGGCAGAAAGTTTCGCCCGGATCTTCTCGTTCGCCTCGGAGTGTACGCGGAGCACGCGCTCGTCATCTTCGGGATTCGACCACAGAGGACTCTCGACGTACCAGATCGCCGGGCTATCATCTTCGCCTAGACTCATGGCGTTTCCGCGTGGTGCTCCAGTCACAATGGGTGTGATTGGGAGCATGCTGAAAGCGGTTGAGAAACCCTCGACATCTGCCAAAGATGCGATGCTTTCGTAGTAGGTGTCGAAAGCGATCCTAGCAGCTGTAGCATTGGCATTGCTAGTTAGCCAGTGGAATATAGCACGAGTTCCGAGAGGAGGAGCGTAGTTGAACTCATTAGACCATTGGCCTATTGTCGTTCGCGAGATATTTCCTCGTGTGATGGGTAAGATGGGTGCAGTAAAGTTCTCCAGCCCAATGGGTACGTCCCCTTCGCCGCTGTACCAAAGGTATCCGTCGAAAGAGATATCAGGGCTGCGGGATGGCACCCAGCGGGTCTGACCCTCGAAGGAAGCCTTGGGATGCTCTGCGCCGTGAAGTGCAAACTGCTCTACACTCTTGATATACTGATCTGTTACATTAGACCCCCAAGAAACTGTTCCGATTAGGGCAGAAGATATCGGGATAGTATTGAGAACAGCCTTAGTGACAATGCAGTAGTTGTTGCCGCCTCCAACGAGAGCCCAGAACAGGTCTGGATGCTCCTTAGCGCTGGCAGTCACTAGAGTGCCATCAGCCAGGACGCACTAAGTTTTATGAGGAGTGTATGTCAGCATGTTTTATTTCATATGCATGTGGTAGTCAAGGTCATTTTACTTACCTCAAGAGATCTCGCAGCGTTCGACATTCCGTACTCATAGGCCATGAACCCGAAGGGGCCCCCTCCTAGAATGGCACCGACGACTCCGCCGTTGCCCGAGCGAATACCGTTCGCCGTGACGCCGAATTCATCCAAGTACGCATACAATGGTGGCCACGTTATACCAGCCCCGATCGTGACAGTCTCGGTATCATCTGAGATAGCCATGCTGGTGAGATTTGTCATAGCCATCATGATCCCCTCTGGCCCAATGTTGGCGGCGTTGTCGATGGGCATGGCGCCTCCGCAACGAATTCCAAATTGTACTTGGTGCTCCCGGAAAGTTTGAAGCGCGAACTGCACATCTTCCGCGCCTTGCGGAGCGAAAATACAAGATGGCCCGAGGTAGGTCGTTGAGGTCCAGGAGACTATGCACCCGTTTGTGAGCTCATGTTTGGATCTTGCGAGCCGCAGTCAATACTTACATTCATTCTCAAACTTGTACCGCTCTGACCCGGGGAAGAATGTCTTATCGGGGTGGCTGGAGGCCAACGCATTGCAGCCATCGTTGACGGCAGCGGATGACACAACGGTCAACAAGGCCGCGAGACCCATAAAAGAGGCTTGAAGCGACATTTGGACTCCAAGAAGTAAAGGACAAGTGATAGCTCTCAAGACTGTTGTACTTTCTGATGGTCGTGAATGGTCTTTTCCCTCGCACGAATGCTCTCTTGTTTATATACTTACAAGACTGAGCGGTCAGGCAGCAGATGTACTTGGACGTAGTTTCTCAATATGCCAAGAAGTGTCCATACTTCATACCCATAAAACCGGATAATTGGAGAATCACGGCAATCATGACTAGGTCCGTTATAGCGCACCTTCCGCAAATCGAAAGGTCTCCAAAGCTTGGTCGTTTCAGAGAAACAAACTAATGATGGCATGATCCATAACCGAATGCCCAACTAAACCGGTTTTCATAGTGGCGTATGAATGTTACTGTAGTCTTCAAACGTTCAGGGTTAAGAAACACGTGTAGTTTCTGCTTCCACTGGGTATCACATATGGCGGATGAGAGACATAATAAGCTCTGCTCGGAGCGTGTGGATAGGAAACGTGGCGGGTCGTAGCTTATCCTCCTGGACTGTCCTTGTCTTGAGATGTCGGGCCTGGCACCTTTCATTGGTGTCTTTAGCTTGTTACCCAGATTTCCTCCTGTATCCTACCGGGTTTAATGATGTGAACGGTTTTGCTCGTTCAGCCAAAGCCTTCTCAAATCACAGACATCGTTGCAGTTGGCGATCAGCTCATTTTCTTGAGCCCTATACTGGGGAAGCGATGGAATTCGAAAGATAAGAATGCCAATGTGGATCACAGTTTATGCATAAAAACATGCCTCAATGATGTGGGAAATTGACCCCATGTATAGTCATAGCTTCACGACGGATCATAATAAAACAGCTTAAGTCAAGGTTGGTTTGAGGCCGATACCGAAGGCGATACCGATACCGAGATGCATCCACACCCGGCATTTTGGAGAGATCGGCAGTAAGGATCGGCAGTCAGTCAAGCGTGGCTGCCGCACATCATCACTTTGCAGTCCGAGTAATGTCACTGGCCAGACGGGACCGAAACCGACGGCCAGGAATGGACATAGCATTAACATACTACGGTTACATGGCTTGCCAAGTGGAGAGTTTACCTCCGGAGTCTCATTTAGTTCTCTGACACGAGGCTAACAGTTGCCGGCTCATTCGGTACATGAAAGTGCCTGGCGGGACCCATCTCATCTTGCATGTGTCAAAGGGGTTGAGATCAAGGACCCCAACGATGTCATTATTATGCTGCGATTTGTGGGAATAGTTTAGTCTGCCAAGTCCACGGCAATGCGGCAAGGCTGCGGCCTCAACTTACGTACACGGCAGAACTACCGTACGTACGACTGACTAGGCACAAGGGCTCGATCATCATCAAATTACGCGTCTAATGACTGTGTCTCAGTTGTGTATATATGACAGAGCGTCTGCATGTCAAAAGACTGATCCCAAGGCAAGCCAAAACATATATTCATTGCCAATCACCTTCATCATTCCCTCTGCTTAAGTATGAGGTTTCATTCAGGCTCGCGAGGCATTGCTATCTTAGCAAGTGCCACCCTTTCTCCTCTTTCCGTGCTTGGATTCGAGGTTAGGGACACCGTCAAAAATGCCTGCGATCAGTTGCGATCTGCATATCCCGAGGCTCTGCTGATGCCCAACTCGACGGCATACGAGGAGGAACGAATCAACTTCTGGGACAAGAGGTCGAACTTGAACCCCGCCTGTATCTTTCTTCCAGAGACGGCAGATGCCGTGGCTGAAGGAGTCGCCATATTTCACAAGGAGAAAGCTCAGTTCGCTGTCCGCGGGGGTGGACATATGAATGTGAGCTGAATCATCGAACCTTTGGATTTTGTGAACTAACTTACTTCCCTAGTACCCTGGCTCAAATAGTGTTGACGGCGGAGTACTCGTTGGCCTGAATGGTCTCACTGACATCAAAGTCGACACGAATCAAAGTCGCATCGAAGTTGGTCCCGGCAACAAATGGGTTGATGTCTATACGGCTCTCGCTCCCTCTGGACACTACACCATCGGTGGAAGGCTCAAGACCATTGGAGTACCTGGCCTGAGTTTGATCGGTGGCGTCGGCTACTTCCTGAACAAGTACGGCTTCACCATGGACAACGTCCTGAGCTACGATGTGGTGTTGGGTAACGGAACGCAGGTGGTGGCTAATGCGACATCTAACCCTGGTCTATTCTGGGCCTTGAAGGGTGGCGGCAGCAACTTCGGTCTTGTCACCAAGTTTGTCTTCAAAACGTATCACATCCCACAAGTCAGCAGCACCTATCAGATCTTCGATGATTCACAAGCCCACGACTTTATTCGAGCAGCGTGTTCCATGCTTCTGTCGGAAGACGGGGCCGTCGGTGCTGGTGCCGTGGTCAACATCAATTATAACGTAACTACAAAGAAGGCTACCCCTCAGGTTTTTGGCCTCGAAGAGTCAACGACATCCCCGCCACCTCGCTTCAACGCATTCAGCTCTCTTCCGGCTGTGAGCCGCAGGAATTCTGTCATGCGACCGGTTGACTGGCACTCTCAAATGGAGACTCCCAATCAAATGTTCAGGTAGGCTTGGCCAGATGTTTTTTCTGAATGGTATCGACGATTTTCCCATTTCTGACAAAGTTCCAGAGTACAATTCGGCCATCACACGATCAAGCCCGATGCCGACCAGCTTATCTACATTTACGACCAGTGGATAGCCGCTATCGAAGAAGTTGCGGAGGTTCCAGGCATTTGGCCAACGTTCATTCTTAACTTCGCACCCAAGTCTGGCGCCGCAGTGGCCAAACGCAACGGCGTTGGAAACACATTCGGTCTTAATGATGACGAATCACATATCTGTAAGACTGACTATTTTCAAAACTCCAACTTGGTCATTTTAGCTGATCCAAACGTACAGGGTGGCAGTTCACAACCTCCTGGGCGAACGAAGAAGACGACCTGCGAGTTACAGCTTGGCATCAGCACCATCTCAAGCGCTTGCACGAGCTGAACAAGCAGAAGGGCTTGGCTTCTGACTTCCTCTACATGGGTGACTCTGGCGAATGGCAAGATTCAATCTCGACCTATGGAGATCGTAACATTCAGAAGATGCGCAAGATTAGGGATCTCTACGACCCTGATCTCACTTTCACGAAGCTGAACTGGGGAGGCTTCAAGCTTGGGTACTAGGCGGCTGACATTATTTCAACTACCGCTCATGTGTCAATAATCAATTGTCGCGAGGTTTTTTCATCCTTCTAGGATTTCTCTCGTTCTGTTCTACACGTTCATCAGGCATGGTCTCCCGAACTGACAGTCTTGCCCCGGGTCGAGAGGGTCCTGTCAGTGACACCCCTACGCCTGCTATTCCTTGGTCAAGTTCCTTAAATCTCTAGAGCTCATCAGGTGAAGTTTAAATATATAGAAATGAATTAGATATTATTATAATTGCTATAAGATAACTAGATATAGAAATTAGAAGAATCTGCAATTTCGAAGATTGATTTGATCTTAAGTATTCTTACATTGTAACAACTAATACATCTTTTGTCACGCCATGGTCATAGACCGGCTCCGCGCCTAGATGATGTACTCAGCTCCTAGTACCTCCGCAAGAAATACTGAGCACTTTCACTTATCAATAACACTCTCTTAACCAACTATTAATAAACCCATCAGTTTAAAGATACCACTCAAGTTTACCCTTACTTTCTAATTAAATACCTAGCTTCTGAGTGACAACTTTATTGTCCCTCTCTCTGGTATAATTGTCATGGAATTAAGACGCTCACCCTCAGCCTACCCTATAGCCACAGAGTATACCGTTTCTCACACAGAAGTAGCATCGTTTTCATCAATCAATTTCGGCTCCAATGATGATTATGAGAGATATTTTAGCGAGAGCACCCCGGATGTAAGAATTTTGAGACACATGGAGACTGAAAGTTTTGGCATGGAAACCGAGTAGTGCATGAAACTGGTGCATGATCAAGAGCTACGACTTTTTTTTGCTCCTGACAATAGGTGAATATTTCTCTTGCTCCATGGCTAAATGCGGACTAGTTCATCAATTACATACTTGCGGCTAAAGAAAAATAATCCATGGCTAAATTATACCTGCTGGGGAGTACTTGTATGGAAGGGGTCCGACAGCTGCGGAGGCAAAAAGGAACTGCCCGGAATGGACTCCGAACGTCACCTCACTCAAGGCTATTTCTCGGTAACCCTATCATGCTTACTAAAAGAGCAGCTTATCCATATCATGCATGTTATAATGCACCATGACTTGTAGAGTGTGAATAAAGATGCTAAATGTCTGCCCTTATGTAGCAATAGAGGGTTAATGTTCTTCAACAACACTTTCAGTCTTCGTGTTATCTTGACAAGAGGTCTTTGAACGCCGCCAAAAATCCCAGTCACAGCGCTGTCAGGCTCCGTCCAAGACATGGCCGCCAAGAAGGGCCCAGCTGCCTTTCGACAGTACATTCCTCCCCAGGATGTCCAAAGAAGCATCGATCTCGCCCGATGCGACACCTACGAGTGGGCCAAAATCCGTTGCGCCGAGCCCTTCATGATCAGCTGGAAGCGCAAATGGGACGAGCTGTGCGACCAACCATACAAGGGCATCACCACGGACGGAAACGTCATACCGGGTCTGTATAGGCTGGCCAATGGCTCCGATGACCACGGAGCTCCCGTGGCCGCCATGGTGGCTGCCGCGGAGCGGATACTCCAGACTGCCACCGCAAAAGAAAAAGAACGGATGTGCAGGACTGTTGACGCACCCGAGTGGCGGAAATGGGCAAACCCAGAGATTTATGTCTTCAGACATGGTATTCGACTGGAGGAGGTTTCGGAGGAGCTCGTCGCCGCTGTCCATGGTTTGATGAGAGAAAGCCTATCGCCAGCTGGCTATGCAAAGGCGTCCGGTTGTATGGATGTCAACGAATTCCTTGGGGATGTCGTCAACGGCAAAGGCGTCCTAAACAGGAACTCGTACAACTTTGTTCTTTTTGGTGTACCATCGCTTGATGACCCCTGGGGATGGCAATTGTTTGGTCACCATCTCGATTTGAACGTCTTCTGCGTAGGGTCTCAAATGGTCATTTCGCCAGTGTTCATGGGTGCTGAACCCAATGTCATCGATGATGGACCCAAGAGTGGCACCGAGTTGTTTACCGACCAAGAACGAGTGGGTATGAGTCTGATGCAATTTATCGACTCCGAGAACATAGAGGGTGTGCGTATATTTAATGAATTGAGTGGCCCGGAGTACCCAGAGTGGCGATTTCACCGTGCGGACCAGCGACATCTTGGGGGAGCCTTCCAGGACAACAGGGAGATTCCATACGAGGGTGTCAAAGTCACAACGTTTCCAGCAGCCCAGCAAGATCTAGTGCGACAGATCCTTGTTCTTTGCCTCAACTACCTCCCGGAAAAGGCACTATCAGCCAAGATGGAAGAGATCTCACGACATTGGGAGGACACGTATTTCTGCTGGATTGGGGGATGCCGTAAAGGTGATGCATTTTACTACAAGGTCCATTCTCCAGTTGTGATGATCGAGTTTGATCATCACAGTGGAGTCTTTCTGAACAACAAGGTTCCTTTGCCTTTTCATATACACACTCTGGTAAGGACCCCTAACGGAAATGACTATGGCAAGGCGCTCTTGAAGCAAGTACTGGATGCCTGAGCTTTGATATTCTACGCCTTGTTTTGGATTGATTGCCCGCACGTAAGCAAATCGGGGTTGCTACGAATCACTTAGGAATTAAGAGGAATAGTGCACTGTAGCTAGCTGATCTCCCGATTTTCAATACAATTGAGTCACTGCTCGCAGTAATCGATCAAATTGAACAAATTTGGGTTATTCTCGCAAATGAAAAGCGCAAATTATATGTGAAAGTGTTCTTTCTATAAGAGAATACTTGTGAAATAAGCCAAACGAAGAGCAGCGCGCCAATGAGCTAAATGAACACGGATCAGATGTCAACAACGGAGCAGCTGTCGTTGTGGCCACTTACGATGTTAATTACGGCCGCTAAAAAGAATAGAGTAGTTACGGTGTGTGCCAAGAAGTTATCAGAATGAGTATACCATTTTGCAATTCATGTGGTTACCTACGGAGACCCGCACCTCCATGTTGGTGCTCGGTGTATCCGGAATCACCTCCGGGCTGAATTCCGTGTAGGTAAACCCTGCGATCTCCGTTGGTTTCTGTAGGCTATTCGACTAGACCATCTCAGTCATCAAGGCCGGAGCCAAGCTACAACTGCCCGATGTAATCTTCTCGTTCCGCGCGTAGAGCATCGTATTTCAAAGACGGGTTTTGATAAAACAGATCATTTGCTTCCACTTCCACTAAGCGGTGATTGACCTTATCTACGCTACTCACAAAACTAAACTAGGAGGTAAAGATATTGACCCTTTCGCGTTCTAAAGATCATTACTGATTTTCTTAATAAAGCTCCTATATTTACAAGGTTCAAGATGCAAGAATACGACACCGACGTGCTCGTGGTCGGTGCCGGCGTCGCTGGCCTATCCACGGCCATCCTCCTAGCTGAGCAAGGCATCCGCGTTTCAGTAGTTGCCAAACACAACGGGACGGCACCGTCTCCACGCGCACATGTCACGAATCAAAGGACAATGGAGGTTTTCCGAGACATGGGCATCGAAGCCGAGGCAAAAGCGGCCGGCTTCTCCCTAGTCGGTGCAGGCAGCCTTGTCATGGCCACAAGCCTCACTGGCCAGGAGATTATGAGATATAGCTGCTACGGCGGCGGCGACCATCAACTTACGGATTTCGCCAAGTCGAGTCCGTGTTCAATGCATAATATCTCGCAATACATGCTCGAGCCAGTACTGCTCGCGAGAGCTCGGGAGAAAGGAGCGAATATCAAGTTCTACCACGAGCTGGTCGATGTTGAGCAGTCATCTACACAGGTTACCGCAAGAGTCAGGGAGCGGACAAGCCAAGGTGAATACTCGGTCCGCGCAAAGTATCTGGTTGGCGCAGATGGAGCGCGATCAACGGTTGCGACCAAGTCCGGGTTCGGCTTCGAGGGTGAGCCTGGTCTAATGTCCATGACTAGCTCATGGGTGGAAATGGATCTGACCCAATATGTGGCTCATCGTCCCGCCTGCATTTACTGGATGCTACAGCCAGGTGACGAGTTCTGGGTGGGATCCGGCACCTGCGTGGTCATGAAGCCTTGGACGGAATGGGTTCTAAATAGGCAGTACAACGCCGAGGATGGCGAGCCTGATACGTCGGACGAGGCCATCATTGCCCATGCGCGTAATGTGCTTGGCTTGCCGGACTCGTTACCTATTCGAGTGAAGCATAAAGCAAAATGGCAGGTCAACCACGTTGTGGCGACTGAATATCGCCATGGGCGCATATTTTTGGCTGGTGATGCTGCGCATCGTCATCCTCCATCCAGTGGTCTGGGCAGCAACACTTGCGTGCAGGATGCCTATAATCTTGCCTGGAAGCTGGCTTTGGTTCTCAAGGGGAAAGCTGACGACAGCCTGCTGGATACGTATAGCCAGGAGAGACAGCCCGTTGGGAAGCAAGTTGTAGACCACGCCATTGAGACCTTGCACCAGATGGCCGCTCTCCCCAAGGCTCTGGGTTTCCAGCGTGGCCAGTCGCGCGAGCTTGGCTTTGCGCAGTTGGAGAATCTCTTCTCGGACGCCGAAGGAGCCGAGGAGCGTCGTTTGTACCTGGAAGAGCAGGTCCAGCTGGGAAATCGTCGTTCCAACGCGCTCGGGGTCCAGCTCGGTCAACGCTATGAGAATTCGGCTGCGATCGTGTACGACGGAACGCCATTTCCAGCGTATCAACGTGACCCAGTCCTCTACTACGAGCCTACAACTTACCCTGGCGCTTACGTCCCCCACGCGTGGATAGAACATAATCAACGGCGGATCTCGGTTCTGGATATTTTCGAGCACGGACATTTTGGGCTCATCGTAGGTATTGGTGGAAAGCCTTGGGAAGTCGCTGCTGAAGAGGTCAGTCGGGACCTTGGCATAAAGCTCCCGGTGCACTACGTAGGGTTACGATGTCCATATGACGATGTGTTGTGCGAGTGGAGGCAGAGGCGAGAGATTAGTGACAGAGGGGCTCTTCTGGTTCGACCTGACCGACACATTGCTCTGCGGTCGCATGATCGTCCAGAGAACCCCAAGGAGATTTTGAGCTCTGCACTCAGGCGCGTGCTAGGTATGAAGTAGTTTAATCGAAGTCTCGTGCGTGAGAACAGAGAGCCATGTAGTTGCTTAGTGAGTGACTCCCCGACGATCGAGTGCCCTGATTCATGGGCGAGTTTTTGACGGAAACAACTTCCGATCTGTAGCCGCAACTTTCCGTAAGTTGAATATTAGAGCAAAAGTCAACATCCGATGTGATGACCTCGCAAGATAATAAGTACTCAGCGAGTCACTCCCTGCCTAGCTGGGTAATTGAGATATTTCGCCTCACATAGACTACTTCGACGACTCGGGCAACGAAATCATCCAATGGCTACCATGTTGTGTCGGCAGATACCGCGTCTTACTTCACGCAGGCTTACTTTGCCTAGTCGTCAGAAGCTATCTTCCATGGCGCGCTTCAATTGGGAGGATTCCTTGTCCGTTAAGAATGCTCTCACACCGGAAGAGCTGGACATCCAAGAAACGGCCAGGGCATATTGCCAAGAGCGACTACTTCCCCGTGTTCTCGGTTAGTTTGGGCCTGGCATCTCTTCAAAGTCAACCTCTGGGATCTGACCTTTTCCGTGTTTAGATGCATACCGCGACGAAGACTACGACTCCAACATTCTGAAAGAGATGGGGAGCTTGGGACTTCTTGGCGCAACCATACCCACCCACGGCTGCGCTGGTGTTAGCAGCGTTGCGTCTGGTCTGATCGCCAAGGAAGTCGAGCGAGTCGATTCGGGCTACCGATCAGGCATGTCTGTGCAGAGCTCGCTTGTCATGGGCCCTATTTCTGAACATGGCACAGCGGAGCAAAAGGACCGTTTTCTCCCTCAGCTCCGAGATGGGACAATGATTGGATGCTTTGGCCTCACTGAGCCAAACCACGGGTCGGATCCGGGATCCATGGAGACCATTGCCAGAGAGCACCCCACAAAGAAAGGGTACTTCTCGTTATCTGGCGCCAAAACTTGGATCACCAACTCCCCCATTGCCGATCTGCTCGTTGTCTGGGCAAAGCTAGAGACAACGGGCAAGATCCGGGGTTTTCTGATAGAGCGAGGAGAATGTCCGCCGGGCACTCTAGAAACTCCCCCTCTCAAGCACAAAAATGGCCTTCGAGCCTCCATAACCGGAATGATCCAACTCGACAACTGCCCAGTCCCCGCCGAGAACATGCTTCAAGTGGAGGGCCTCAAGGGGCCTTTCAGCTGCCTCAATTCTGCCCGCTACGGTATCGCATTTGGCACCATGGGCGCATTGGAGGATTGTATTACCCGCGCTAGGACGTACGCGCTTGACAGGAATCAGTTTAAAAAGCCGCTGGCGAGCTATCAGTTAATTCAGAAGAAACTGGCTGATGCGCTAACGGATGCAGCGTACGGGACATTGACGGCCATTCACGTTGGAAGACTGAAGGATGATGGGGAAATGGCACCGGAGATGATATCTATGATAAAGAGGCAAAATTGCGACAGAGCTCTAGCTGGGGCACGGGCGTGAGTAGATAATTGCCTTCCTCCTGGCCTGATCGATGCTAACTAAGTGCAGGCTACAAGAGGTCTTTGGAGGGTGAGGCTAACCAAACGATTAACTCAACGAAAATGATATAAATTAACTTGTGTTTAGGAACGCGGCGTCAGACGAGTATCACATTGGTACGATCAATTGTCCTGCTTGGCGATAATTACATGTAATCCAGAAAGCTAACACGTTCCAGGCCGCCATGTAGCCAATCTTTTTGTCGTTCAGACGTATGAAGGGCAATCTGATATTCACTGTGAGTGACATATGACTTCATCAGAAGCATAAACTAACGGCATCCAGCGTTGATCATAGGTCGTGGCATCACCGGTTTACAAGCATTTCATTAGTAGTGGCCCGTCCTTTGGCTGCGTAGGGCACATTTCCAAAGACTTCTTAATACAGGGCAACAAAGTAATGTAGTGATGAAAGTGAGCTCCGAAATGCAACCTCTCCATCGCACAACTCCATCATAGAGCTAGACTATGGAGGCTAGAGCATAATTGTTCATTCAATATCACATATTACCACCCGTTTAATTCACCGTGTCACATTGCCGTCTCCAACGATCGTACTGTTGCTTCAAACAGTTCCGTCATTAATGGACCCGAAATTATAGCGGAATCTGTGTGGCCGAGTGTTGCTCAACGATTCCGCTCACTCTGGAATGAACTCCGTCGCTACCGGACATTTAATTAGCGCTAACGGGGCTCGCGGAAAGCTACTGGAACACTGGAACATTGGAACATGGACATGCAGGAAATTTGATCATGTGTGGAGGGTAGAAAGGTTCAGTCCTTGGACATTCTACGCCGATTTGAAAGCGATGTTTGATTTATTCCTCGCATAGGAAACCGCATCGCTCTAGCAGTTGTTATCAAATACTAGAAAAAAATGGCAAAATTCAAATATTCGTCCGTGATAAGCCATTGTAGACGGTCACTGTCGACAAATTCACGACAACCCGATGGGCTTCTCCCATTGGCAGGAATTCGCGTCTTAGATATGACGAGAGTCCTTGCTGGGGTAAGCATGCTAAGACGTAGTCTATTATGAAGAAGAAAGCTGACGAGATTCCACCAGCCATACTGCACGCAAATTCTTGCCGATCTGGGGTGAATTCATTGCCTTCCTCCCCATAACACGAGTTACTTCGTCGTCATCCTTGACTTCCTGCTAACTTGTGCTCGCCGGCTGCAGCGCAGAGGTCATAAAAATTGAGCATCCTACCCGGGGAGATGACACCAGGGCTTGGGGGCCGCCATATGCAAAAAGCGCTCGCGTGGGCACTCATGTCCCAGGAGAGAGCGCGTACTTTCTAGCGGTGCGTTCACCAACGGCGCAAGACGAGCAAAATTCTTCTGACACAGGGACCTTCAGGTAAACAGGAACAAAATGTCGGTGGGCCTTTCGTTCAAGGACCCCAGGGGCGTACAGATCTTGCACAAGCTGGCTTCGGAATGCGATGTGCTGGTTGAAAACTATATCCCTGGCTCCCTCAAGCAGTACGACCTCGACTTCAAAAGCATCAACAAGATCAATCCGAGGCTGGTATACACCAGCATCACTGGGTACGGCCAGACGGGCCCTTATCGTAAGCGTGCGGGCTACGATGTGATGGTAGAAGCGGAGATGGGATTGATGCACATCACCGGATCGAGGGATGGGCCGCCTGTCAAGGTTGGTGTTGCGGTAACGGACCTGACCACAGGGTTATATGCTACGCATTCCATTCTTGCAGCTTTATTTCTGAGACAAAGAACGGGAAGGGGACAGCACATTGACGTCGCCCTGTCCGACTGTCAAGTTGCCACGCTTGCTAATATTGGCAGCTCGGTTTTGATCAGTGGCGAGAAAGATTCTGGAAGGTGGGGGACGGCGCATCGTGAGTTTCCAATATTCTACGCATTAGATGACATGATTAACATGTCCCTCGCAGCTTCAATTGTGCCATATCGAGGATTTCGAACGTTGGACGGAGATCTGATGCTTGGAGGAGGAAACGACCGTCTATTCGGGATACTTTGTGAACGGCTAGGGTTTCCCCATTGGGCCACTGATTCGCGGTTTGCTTCCAACAGCAGTCGTGTTGCTAACAGAGCCGTGCTAGAGTCTCTCATTGAGGAAGTAACCATGACAAAAACAACAAAGGAGTGGCTTGATATCCTCGAGAATAGCGGCATGGCTTATGCTGCTATTAACGATGTGAAGAGTACGCTGGAACATGAGCACGGTAGGTTCTTCAGTGTCCCTGAGGGAAGCAAGGACCCAGTCTGCTAATGCAAATAAGTTTTGGCTCGGAATATGGTGACTGAGGTCCAGCATGAGACTTGTGGACCTATAAAATTGATCAACACACCAGTGAAGTTTTCCGAGTCGAGCCCTGGAATCAGACAGGCACCTCCAACTTTAGGCCGCCATACAGACCATGTTTTGGAGCAAATGGCAGGGCTTGATGAGAAAGAGATTGCAGTTCTTAGAGAAGAGGGTGTAGTGAGTTAAATGTGGCAATGGTATGGCATGGTTGGCCTGGGCCCCTATGGAGGGCTTGCGCACTACAAGTCCATGGAACATTAAAAAGCGTTTATATTACGTCTTGGTGAAATGTTTGCCACCTTTTCGCGTCGATATGACATGACACGGCCTATAAAACGATTTTAATGTACCTCTATTTCACGAAGATATAAAAGTCTACTTCTCCAAAGCGGCTTGAATCTCCATCGCAAGTGCTTCCACGTCAAAATTCGCAATCGAACGATCCGCCCAATCCGCGAGTTGCGTTATGGTAGCCAGAACACTCTTGACGCAAGCTACGGAGTTGCCAATTCCTAGTGTTGCCTTGATGTGACTCTTGGTCTGCCGAGTGGCCCCAAGAGCTGCAATGGCGGATGCGACGATCAAATGTGACTGATTTGGCTGGAAAACGTGCTCGTTCGCTTTGGAAATGAGGTAACCCCAGGTGACTGAAGTCGAGCAAGTGACTATTTCGAGGTGGTTAGTTCTTAGCTAGGTCTAAGGATAATGTGGCTCACGTACAAAGATCAGTAAAGTACTTGTCCATTAGACTGAAGATATCCGAATTCCCAACGCCGCGGTATATCTTAGCCCGCAGCGCCCGTCCATTTGCCACGTCGTTTTCGTCAATTGTTGCCTTACGCAGAACCTCCGTAGAGGCGTAGGAGGGCCCTTTTCTCTGAACGACACCAATCATGCCATAACAGGCCGGAATGCAAGTCGGCATACCGACATACGGAAAGATGATTGTGATGGCTTCCCTCAAACAGAGAAATATGGTTCTTGAATCTTCAGGACTGGCCTCGCTCGTAATGTCGTCAAAGAATCTCCCTACGACGTCGGCACGGCCTAGAGCGCAACATGCTGCGGCCTTTTGAAAGGCGTTCGAGTTAGTCCAGGTAGTGTGACACATCCTTTACAGGCCGATGAGGACTACTTACAATGATGGCATGACTAAAACTACCGAGCTCAGGGTGAGAGGCTACTAACTCGGAGTTTAAGGAAATGAAAAGGTTTTTATCATATGGCCGACTATCAGCTTTGACATTCGTTGACACATACTTTTCGTCCCAATCGGACATGAATGAATCCTTGCTCCAATCAGGCATATTGTCAAGTTGAATGGATGAAAGCGTCCGTGGTGCACTTGAAGCTTGCTTATGTTGCTAAATCGGAAATATAAAAATATAAAGTATAAAAAATCAGCAGTTCAGCAGTTCAAAGCTCCCATGGCTTTGTGATCTGTGGACAAGGCCCGTTCATTGATCACCTTGGTGGTGCCACCGAACCCCGGAAATCCCAGTTGTCGCCGAACCCCATCGGAACTACGTCCGTCGCAATGTAGCATTCCCATATACGGTGCAAGCAACTAGACAACTCCACTCATGGGGATCAAGGAAAGTCATGAAGAAGGCCTAAGTTATCTTCACAATCAGCGAACGACTGGTCAATTCATCTCCTCAGCCTCGACTTTTGACAGAATCATCAGTCACTTAATGGAGTCTATATTTTCTGATAAAAGTGCCGTGCCATGTTGAATACGTGTACTCGAATACCTAGCTGCGTCGCTGAACTTTCTACCACTGTACTTATACTACGATTCGGGTGCCGTTTATGAAGCTTCTCACAATATGCACGAATAAGCACAGTAGTCAACTTTGTGGAATAGTGGTATCAGAATAGTGGATCCAAGGTTCTATCTACCCTACGATAGTAATTTCAGTGATCAGTGAAGATAAAGACTCTGTCCTCTGTTGGCTTGAACACCTTCTCGTGGGGAGGTTCGCCCACAGGCGTTCCGAATACCAATTGAGCTTTCAATGACCACTGTGGAGATATATTCCAACGGCCAACGATTTTCTGGTCGATTGTAGGGTTGATATGCTGAAGGTTGCATCCGAAGCCTTCGAGACTCAGCGCCGTCCAGAGATTGAACGCCACCATCGCATTGTTGTGTTCCGAAAAGAGCGGGAGGTGCCAGGCAAAACGGGGCTGCCGAGACTGATATTCTCGTATCACGTCCAAATCTTCGAACAAAAGTATCTGCCAGAGCATTAATATGGTTCATGTAGTACGATGGGGCATTCACATACGGTGCCGTATGCTTGCTGACGCTGGAGCAGCTTTTTCTCGTAGTCCAGGTAGACAGTTGGCTGTAGTGTGGCTGCGAAGCACTGCCTAGCCAGATCCCAGAACTCGACATGCTCATCGCGTAGTAGGATGACCAATCTGGTGGACTGGCAATTAAAAGAGCTTGGAGTGTGCTTGGCTACCTCGTGAGATATCTCGACAATACGACTGTCGCTGATTGGAGATTCGGATTTCAGTGGGTAGCAAGTTCGACGGACTTTGAGGTCCGCTAAGTATCTATCGGCCATGTTGTTGGGGCGAGTTGAATGCAGTGGAGTGACTGTAAAACCAAAGCCGTAGATGCTGAGTGAAGCGAAGGGAGGCGCTGGGAGCTTTTACAGTAGCCCCCGTGAGAGGAGTACCGTAGCCCGCCTTCACATTGTCGGAGACGGTTATACGCCACCGACAATCCACGGAACGTGGAGCGTTGAGGCCGGAACAACGAGTCCTCCCCGAGAGCTCCGGCATGCTCAAAAGTCTTCCACCGCACGTCCAAGAAATTCATGTCCGGAAACCAAATATAGGGCTCATAAGATATCACTTTTTAAGCTATAACGTCTTTCTGTTCAACGGCATCAACTTTCTCCCAGTTCATCATCATGGCGAAAACGGTCTTAGTCCTCGGCGCCACCGGCACACAAGGTGAGATAGGCATGCCCCTCCTAGCTTCTTGCCATGCAGCGTGGTCTGATGGTCTTAGGCGGCTCCATTGCAAAGCTACTCCTACAGCATCCCGAAGAGTATGTCGTCCATTGCCTTACTCGCAACCCGGACTCGGACAAAGCCAAGGCGCTTGCCGCTCAGGGAGGAGTCCTAGTCAAGGCCGATTTGACGGTTCCTGATACCCTGACGGACGCTTTCCGTGGTGTCTGGGGGGTCTTTGCGGTGACAGACTTCTATGACACTGTACGTAGGCAGAAGTTCGACCACCAGTTTCTTTTAAGATATCGTATTGACTTCATTCTCGCAGACAGTTCTTGATGACCCAATGAGCGAGGAGAAGCAAGGGCAGCACATCGTGGAAGCTGCGTCCAAAGCTGGAGTGGAGTGCTTCCTATGGAGTACGCTGCCAAGTTCAAGAGAGATTTCTGGAGGGAAATTTATGACGCGACTATACGAAGGTATTGAGGCTCTTGGCCCATCTATCCAACACATACTGATTTGCACAAAATAGGCAAGCAATCCGTTGATGCAGTAATCCGCTCGGCTGGTCTCAAGGGTTGCTTCATCCGCACGGGCAATTTCTACGAAAACATGATACTTCGCAAATACGCTGCCTATGACAAAGAAAGTGATACTATCACTATGACACGCCCCATCATTGGGCCGGATGCTGAACGTTTGTTGAACCCCCTTCCCCTGGCGTTATATTTCGCTTGGAGAATCTAAGGTGCCAACGTGACGATAGTGACTACACTTTATGTCGAGAAAGATCTATCAGCGGTCTGCAAAGCCATATTTGATCAGTGGGAAACGAAGAAGAGCAGCTTAGACGGGAAATATTTCCTAGCTTGCGGGGCTCGTGAGACCATGCGAGATATCAATGCAATCATTGAAAAAGGTGCGTACATATCAAGTAACGACCAAACAAAAAGCTCCTAACACAGGTGGCTTAGTGTCTGGAAAGAAGGTCGTGTATAGGGTCAAGCCAACTTGTGGGATCGCCGACCGCGACATCATGCTCCAGCTCTACAACGATGTGGGAATGTATCCCGGCGTGCAGATTCCGTCTCCAGAAGTTGCAGAACTTGGAGTCAAGCTACATACAGCCGAGGACTATATAAGAGAGAGACTCCTCCCCCATCTTGGCCTGCAAGCGATTGGTAGTTAGACATGAGCGAGGCTCTAGGTGCATTTTTTGTTACACTCGATGCACTGTACCAGATAGAATGCTACGGTAGCTGAATACCAATCATCAGCCCATAAGTGGCCCTGCTTCAGTCGTTAACTGATGATTCTTGAATGCTGGTATACTTGAGTAGAATACCCTGTAGACACGTTGACATGAGGGAAGTGATGCTAGCGAGCATGGCGGACTGATCACGCGGGCAACAAAAATCCCGGAAATTCCGTTAAAATTCCGTCAGCACGGAGCACGTTGATACATGACCAAACCATGCAAGCCAAAAGGGGCAAGGGGCAACAATAGTGCCAACCGGCAGAGCCGGGGAAGCATCATTATCTTGCCGCTAAGCCATAAACATGAAGCGCTTATCTACCTAGAGAGATGGGGAATGGCGGAGAAACTTTGCGGGGTACAGAAGCTGAAGCTGGGGCTGTTGTGGAGGTGGATCAAGTTGAATCTGTTCTGTTCTAATCTCCCAGTTGATCCGCGAAGAGCTCCAGAATTCTGCTTCACTTTCAGCAGGAAACCCTTGGATATGGAGTGCTAGTAGCCTTATTCGGTGTTCACTTCAGGTTATCAGCTGCGGCAGTGCTTTGATTCGTTGCTTTGCCCTCCCCTTGTCATCTCAAGCAGTGGAGTTGCCGGAGAGGCGATCCGACAACATCATGTCTGCCAACACCGTCAACCAAGAAAGCGTCAGCAACGGCCAGGACCAGAACGACGCCCCGAGTGGGCACGGTGCCGCCTCAGCGACCCAAGCAGAAAGTCCTACGGGTGGCAGTAATCGATCAAAAGAGGCCTGTGAGGCGGCAACAGGTACTGGGGAGCGACCGACCAAGAAGGTCAAGAGAGCAAAATACATAACTAGAGCCTGGTAAGCTGTCGGCTACAAATATGATGAAAAGGACCTTCACCTTACACTCTTTACAGCACATCTTGCCAGCAACGGAAGATCAAGGTCAGTGAAGCCCGGTCCAGTCCGTCGATTCCTCGTGGAGCACACACTAACATTCAACCACCCCCCGTACAGTGCGATGGCTCTGAGCCATGTGGACAGTGTGTCGCGAAGAAACGCACTTGTGTGAGCGTACCTAGAAAACACGAAGTGCGAAATGACTGGGATATTGGCGGCGATCCGAACAACTCTCTGAGCAGAGAAATTCTCGACCGTCTCGCCAGTGCGGAGCGTCAACTGCGCATACTGAGTCGCACAGGGATCGAAGTTGACACTCGGAGTAGCCATGAGCATCTGCGGCGGCGCGGCTCCTCTGACGAGGCCGATGAAGCGCGCAAGCCGACGACAGAGTTCCAAAAGGCCCTCGAGGTGGAGGGACAGACATTCGCCGGAGAACTTTCCATCACGCCGAATCTCGAGCAGAGTAACAACGATGGCTCTGGCCACCACGGAGATGATTCTTCACCCAGCTCTTTTGTACGTGCCCTAGACCCTGCTCTGAGCGAAACAGGGTCCAGAAAAATAAGAGGGTGGCTGGAGAAGATACTCGTTCAGCACGGAATAGCCCCCGATGAACAGAAGTGGAGGCGCGACCTCGCCGTGTACATGGAAGAGGTTCATCCTCTCTACGCATTTCTCCATCCTCCTACCGTATGGGAAACTTTTGACGAGATGTGGGAATACTCTGCTCTCTGGTCCATAACGGACACGACTGAGCGCCGTGAGAAGCACATTTCATTAGCCCTCGTCTTCTTTTGTATTGCCTTGGGGCGATGTAGCGTGTCTTCACGAATGAGAGATGAAAGCGGCGTGTACTCTTCTGGATTTGGCATGTATAGCGTTGGGATGGCTCTCCTGCAAAACGTCATGGAGCTGGGAGACGTCAAAACCAGATCGCTACCAACACTACAGGTCTTGATATTAAGGGTACGCCGGCAGCAGATGTCTAGCCCTGTCCAGTCTCGTGAGCTAACTTTTCGACATTTAGGTCATATATCTGTTCCGCCTGGACGCAAACCAGCAGGCCTCGCAAGTTCTGGCACTCTTGGTCTCTATCGCGCATGCTACTGGACTGCATCGCCAGAGCACACTTGATCCCATGCCCGCCTTCTACAACCAGCTTCACTGTCGTGTCTGGTGGGTCATCTACGCACTGGACCGCAGAATAGCGCTCGAATCCGGCAAGCCGTATCTCATTCAGGACAGAAACGTCGACACGGCCTTCCCGTTGGATCTGACCGACGACTGGCTATCGCGATACCAGACTCGGCAAGACACAGTAGCGGATCTCCAGTCGGACATCTTGGCCCAAGTTGCAGAAAACCCATCTCAATCAGCAGTCCCGTACATGATCGCTCTGATCCGGTACTCTCGAGCAGCCGCAAAGGCGTGGGAAATCCTCTACGGCGTCAAAGCTTCTAGCATGTCTGCTTCCGCCATGGTAGACTATGTTGATACTGTCCTGGAAAAGCTTCTAGATGGAGTTCCCGACTGTTTGAGATACGATCCAGACCTGCCGTGCGAACCTCAATTTAGCAATAGATTGCGGTGGCAGATTAAACAGACAATGCTTCTCTTCACGGTAAGTACCCGCTATGAACGTCAATATCTCCAGTGACTGACTTCCTTCTAAAGTGCTGCACATATGTCCGCGTTCTGATTCAGAAACCCTTCATACCAATGTCCCGATCTGTAGAACGAGGCGAGGACGATGAGCTAGAGTCGGCAACCGCCTGCGCCAGCTTGGCAGCCAGCGTTCTCACAGCACACCAAAAGCTGAATGACAACGGTATCAAGTACAGCTTTGCTCTGAGCCATTATGTCACTAGCTGTACGATGATAATGCTTGGGCTCGTCTCTCGCGAGCCAGGGTTTAAGAGAAGATACGGAGACCTGTTACTGGCCGCCGCGAGGAGTCTGAATATGTATTGTCATGAAGTTTGGGTCTCTGGGAAGATGATGAGGCTCGTGTCGAAGCTGACAAGGCTAGTCCAGAGGACATTGAGCAGCAAGAAGGCAGATGTTCATGGTAGTGAACGACAAGATTCTGGTGGTGGGAGCATGCAACAGCAATTAACGCCACACTCAGAAGATCAAGTGCTTGATTCATCAATGCAGCCACCAAGCATTACGGATGAGGGGATTGAGCACGTGAGGGAGTGGAACCTGGATCATTCGGCTAAGCCCCGTATCTTGACGGCTGATGTTGCGGAGAGAAGATATTCTACTAACGAGGATAATCAACATCGATTCTCAACGTCATGGATGGGCAGGTCTAGCTTGGATGAGCGAAACGACCGGGCAATTTCCGATTCGGACTTTAGAGCTATCTTTGATGGTAGTGAGCGCTACGGGGTTGATTTCCGATCTTCAGGATTGCTTGCTGATCAGTCTCTTGGGGGCTTTGAACTAAGAAATGCCAGCGTGGACGGAGACTTTGGGCAGTTCAAATTGGGAGCACTGGGTTTGAGCAATGTCACCGACCTGGAAGTAGCGAATGATCCTTCTATGATGGATCTCTTCGATAACTCGCCCATGATGAATCTTGGCGGGCTTGGGTGATTGTTCAGTGGTCTTCTTAATACTATGACTCTGTAACGTAAACAAACCGATTGAGTTATACCAAGGGTAGTTTATGTTTTGCGCGCGTGTATAGGCATTGAGTACTAAATTCAGTTTGTGTTTCCAAAAACTTCATGGTTCACCTCTAGCTAAGGTGGGCTCTGTCAAAATCGCCCACATGATGCACGTAGTCAGTTGTTGAGGCCACCGGATTGATTTCATTCAGCTTCTCGGACAGGGGCAGCTTGCAGCAGAGGCTCTCACGCTCAGTAACGGTTCTTCTCTCCTTGAACCCCGCAGTGTTCGGGAATCCGGGGTACGAGCCCGGGCTTTTGTCATCTGCGTTCCGAAGAACCTCTTACTTTCCGGGCGGGCACCCCACAGCGCGATGACCAACGGAAAGCATTCTTAGAAGTAACAAGAGTACGCATATAGTAGATCATTTGCCGCATCAACTTTACTACGGTGGAAAGATACGAGCGGGAGAAGACAACTTTACCAATATTGAACTGCAATTTACATACTAGCGCTATCGAACGACTGTCTGCAAAGATGCCTCTTCAACGTGGAAAAGTTGCCTTTGTCACGGGCGTCAATGGCATTACAGGAAACGCCATTGTGGAACATCTGATTCGGCAGCCCACATCAGAATGGTAATGTCTCTCTCATTCATGACACCAGGTTGGAAGATGACACTATACTAATGTGTTCCCTACAATAGGTCCAAGATCGTCATCACGTCAAGACGCTGCGTTAGCCAGGCCTATTGGCAGGACTCTCGCATCCACTTCGTCGCCATTGACTTCTTGAAACCTATCGATGAGTTGATCGCGGTCATGAAGCCCCTTTGTCACGACGTCACCCATGCGTTCTTTGCATCATATGTTCATGAAGCCGACTTCACCAAGTTGAGAGAATACAACGTACCATTGTTTACGAACTTCCTAACGGCGACTGATGCCGTTGCCAAAGAGTCGCTACAGAGAGTTTGCCTGCATACCGGCGGCAAGGTATGTTTCTAGATATCCTGTTCCTCAGTTTTCGTTTGTAGATAACGCAACTTACAGTTTTTTTACCAGCATTACGGCGCTCATCTTGGGCCGACGAGGGTACCTCTCGTGGAAACGATGCCGCGCTACGAGGATCACGGGGAGAATTTTTACTATGACCAAGAAGACTTCATGTTCGACTTGGCGTCGAAGCGCAATTGGACTTGGAACATCATCAGGCCTGATGCCATCATTGGATTCACTCCATCAGGTAGACCATCATCCAACTAAACAACGGACGATTTCAACGTTGAATGATGAGCTAAATCAATTCATTCGCAGGGAACGGCATGTCCATGGCACTCACGCTGGCCATATACTTGCTTTGTTGCCGCGAGACGGGCGAAGCACCCATCTTCCCGGGAAACAAGGTCTTCTTCCAGACGGCCGATGACTGCTCGTATGCCCCTAGCATCGCCGACATGAGCGTCTGGGCGTCTACCCACGAGCACACCAGCAACGAGGCATTCAACCACACCAACGGCGACGTGTTTTTGTGGAAGTATTTCTGGCCCCAGCTTGGTCAGTACTTTGGTATGGATGTAAGTACGCATTTTCTTTGCCCCCCTTTTCCTGCAATGCAAAAATATCACATGGAATCATGCTAATCAGTATCTGTGATACCCTCAGATCCCGGAGCAAACAGAATGGGCCGCCCTGGGCGACAACGAGCAACTGGCCAATAATTTCTCCATGCGCGCTTGGGCCAAAGACAAGAAGCCTGTATGGGAGCGAGTTGTGGCCAAGTATGGCGGCAACCCCCAAGCATTTAATTGGGGAACGTGGGACTTTGTCGAATGGGGCCTGGGCAAAGCCTGGTCTACCATTTCCTCGGTTGGGAAAGCACGAAAGTTTGGATGGCAGCGGAGCGACGACAGCTTTGAGACCTATGTCCAAACCTTCCGTGCTTTCGAGAATGCGGGTGTTTTGCCCTCAGTGCCTGTTGCTGACGATGGCAGGTTCGTGTCTGCGACTCAGAATGGGGGCCGGGCTGTGAATCCCCGCGATGCGGTTCTCTCCCGCCTCAAGAAGGCCAGCTTGAATGGAGGGCTGAAGAGCACTGAGCCAAATGGCCTGATCAATGGGGGAAGTGACCTTCCTCAGATGGTGGAAGCTACCGATGTTGCAAAGCCTCATGAGCGGGTTGGATATAAGAATGGCATCACGCAGTGTGCTTAGATAATTGAATTTGCGCTTATGAATATTGCTCTGGAAACACATTTACTTTCACACGAACATCATGAGCCATTCTCTTTCGATTAAATATCTAGGAGGAGTCTCAACAACCCTCTGATTTCTGAATAAACTAAATCGAGACAAGAATGAATGGCACACTACTGTAGCTATGTGAATTGTTGGACCTCATTCTTGAGCAACGAAAGACGTTCGCGTTTCGAAGGACAATCCAAGTCTTGAACACCTCGTGGGCAAAGCTGGCCACCTCAGTACCCACAGCACGACAAATGTGTAGCAGAGAAAGTGTGTCGCTGCCATGGGAAATTCCACTCTCGCTTGGAACCACATCTTTTGAGGGCTTCACCAAAATTATCGTCGCTGAGCCATAATCCTCAAATTCCAGATCAGTCATACTTTGCACGAGAGACAATTACCGCCGGTGGGTCATGAAATTGAACTTTATCTTGTCACATATACATTTCCAACCACATGCAACTTAGAACCTATGCTCTTCTTGAAGAGATTTCCCCTGAACCTGGAAGGTCTGGCAAGGCAAGAGCACAGCGAAGACCCTGGCTCGAACGGTATCAGACGCGTTGATCCATCGATGCATAGTAGCTCGTTGAATGATGTGATCCTGAAAGCGAAGAAGCCATTCTTAGTTTAGCGTTGCACAATAGAAACATACTGCTGAGATTTGCTCGTAGAGGGTCGGGGCTACTTACACCTGACTTGAGCAGGACTCTCTGACCGCTATCAAGCTCGTGGATCACCTCTCCCTCAATGCATGTCGAGATGTCGAGAGATATAGTTCTGTGCATGTGACCAATAGCGCCTGGATCAATAGATAGGTTGACTACATTTACGCCTCCCAACGCTGTCTGAGGATACTGAACAGAATCTTCGGCGGGTACTATTATTTCGCCACGTGTTGAGCTGGCCGTGGTGTCTTTCGACAAATACGCTCGGAGGTCCGAATCCCCATCGAGATTGGCTGGTAGTTGCGTTGTTGCGAACGACCGTGATGCCTCTCCAAAGCCCGGCACCTGGGAATATTTTAGTTCTGGGACGTCAAGGTAGATACTCTGTCCAGTGCTAGGATCATGCCCAGTGATGTACCGTCTGACTGGGCGAGGACCAGGTTTGGCTTGATCAGCACAGATTGAGTCGCCAGCCATCATGATATTTCCGCACCCGGAAAGCGTGAAGCAGAACAAATGATGCCGGATATATATGGTCAAAAGATACGAGCAAGATGATTGTGTGATACTACCACGAGCGTCCTAGCCTAAACTATCTCGATGGCAAGCGATGACCGATATATATATATATAGAGATATGAGGTAGGCTGAACTGAATTAGTCTCCCTGGCAACGGTTCAAAGACACTCCCCAGGCAGATAGTGAAGTTCGACACCAGGACAGAAATTCTTTTGCTACCTTGCACCTCAAACTGCGCGTCGTATCTGCTTCCTCTGGGGAAGACGAAGCTACAACCCGACAATACTAGTTTCGACACACGGTGAATGTTTATCACATGTTCAATTTAATCCAATGGTACTGTCGTATTGTGAGTCGGGACGGAAGAGGCAACAGTTTGGGAGTGGTTTCCGTGTAAGTCCCGGAATTCACGGGGGTCGTCCCCGATGCGGTTCCGACGACGAAGTCTGGGGTAAATGTGTGTAAATGAGTCCACGAGGAGTTGTGGGCCGATCGAACCGCTTCAGTAAAAGCGACATCTCTAGCCGTAGCTCAAAATACGTGCAAGTATTTGTTATTTGCCTCCAGACTTTCTTGGCTATCAACTTCGTGAGTTGCAACGCTATTGTCTAGGCTTCTTACAATCAATCAGTGCGCCGCCATCATGATCCTGGAACATCTCGGTTTTAGCTCGTTGAAGATTGTTGGACTTGTGCTGCTAGCTGGTTTTCTATTTCGTGGAATCTTCAACAAGTATGGCCGTGGGCTGCACAATATCCCGGGGCCATGGATAGCAGGCTTTTCAGACTTGTGGAGGCTGTTTCTCGTCCGTCGCCGTCACGCGCAGGAAGAGCACATCGCGCTGCACCGAAAGTATGGACCTATAGTGAGACTCGGTCCACGAGCGGTATCTATTGCCGATCCTGATGCAATCAAGATCATTTACAGTCCCAGTGCTGGGTGGTCAAAAGTAATTACCGAACCGTCAATCGTCCATCCAAGCTTCTTGGGTCAATTACTAATCATTATCTAGTCTCAATTCTATCCGGTGCAGCAGGCTCTTGCAAAGGGCAAAAGGCTTGAGACCATGTTCAACACGGCAAACGACAGGTATCATGCAAAGCTGCGTAGATCTGTTTCTAACGCATATGCTATGAGCACATTAGTGGCTTTTGAGCCGTTCGTCGACTCGACCTCAATTGAGTTCCTAAAGCAACTCAAGAAGAGATTTGTGGACAAGCCCGGAGAAGATGGCATATGTGATTTCGGTGCTTGGCTACAATTCTATGCCTTTGACGTTATCGGAGAGTTGACATTTTCCAAGAGGCTGGGATTCGTAGAGAAAGGGGCTGACGTCGACAACATCATTCGGGATTTGGAAAGCTTCCTCGACTACGTCTCTTGGGTAAGTCCCCTCAGACCCGAAATTGACTGAGGACTACCAAGGCTTATGCTAACTCAATGAATCACCTGAAGGTCGGGCAAATACCCTTTTTGGACAACCTCCTCATCAAGAACCCTCTCAAACTGTGGGCAGCTCAGAGTGGCCTCATCAATACGAGTGCGCCTGTCGCGCAATTCGCGAGAAAGCACATCACTGAGCGCCAACACGATGAGTCTTTAGGCGAGGAAAAGTCTAAAAGAAGAGATTTCCTCAACAGATTCAAAGAAGCCAGAGCAAAAGATCCCGACTTCATTACGGAGCAGCTCGTTCTGGCGCTCACCGTTGCCAATATGTTTGCAGGGTCCGACACCACCGGTATCACCATGCGAGCTGTTTTCTACTTTCTATTGAAAAATCCCTCCACGATGAATAGTCTACTGACGGAGATATCTGAAAAGAGCAAGGCTGGAGGGTTCTCCCGAGAGGACGGCCTTCCGCAGTGGGAAGAAGTCAGGGACATGCCGTACCTAGGCGCCGTGATCAATGAATCCTTACGCTGCCATCCAGCAGTGGGCCTCACGATGGAAAGAATGGTTCCGGCCAATGGTGCCAAATTAGCAGGCTATTTTTTACCCGGAGGAACAATTGCTGGCTGTTCCGCTTGGGTGCTTCATCAAAGTACAGATGTGTACGGCAAGGATGCAGCCGATTTTCGCCCGGAGCGATGGCTCGAAGCAACTCCTGAACAGCGGCGGAAGATGACCAATACTTTGTTTTCGTTCGGTGCTGGAGCAAGGACTTGTATCGGCAAGAACATCTCCCTTCTAGAGTTATACAAGCTTGTCCCTGCCATCCTACGGAGATTCGAGGTGAGTCATGTTTTGACCCTTTAATGACCAGGACGAACAGAGCTGATTCATGTTGGCCTTTAAGCTCGAGTTAGCTCACCCAGGAGCATCATGGAAAACGCACAATGCTTGGTTCGTGCGACAAAGAGAATTCTACGTCCGGCTAAAGGAAAGAAAGCAAATTCTGTAATGGAGGGACACAAACGGACTGTAATTGATATGCTAAGGATCAGATCTTTGGTTGTTGAACCTCTCAAACTGTCGGACTTTGACTATGGGATTTCCTACGAACCTATATTACTTGTCTTGTATGCCACATTAAGGAATAAAAGGATGAAATCAACGAACTGGCACTTAGATAGATAAGCTTCCATATGGGGCTATGCGATCCTTGAGCTGTTGAATGAACATGTTACCATCAAATGAATCATCTCGAGATCCTGCACAAAAGTAGCATTCAGTTTCCCGTCCAAAAGCCCAAATTATGAGAAATCATCGGTTTAGCGGTAGAAAGCGACACTTTGACCTTTAGAAAAGCCATCTTTTTCTATACTGAGTAAACAATCTTAGATATATATATGAATGCTGCTTTGACCCTTTACAGACACCAAAATCACTCGATCGCTCACAATTTCCATATATCAGAATTGTTATTCAAACACCATTGTGTTCCTGACACGACCAAGCCCAGTAATGCTAACCTCTACAACATCTCTGTCACCCAGATATATTGGCTTCTTCATTCCCATAGCTACCCCTGATGGCGTTCCTGTCAAGATAACTGTGCCAGATTCGAGGGTTGTTCCTTGACTTAGAAAACTGATAATGTCTTCTACCCCGAATAGTAAGTCACCTGTGCTCGAACTCTGGCGCTCCGTATCATTGACCAGCGTTCGAAGATGAAGATCAGAGGCGTTACCAAGGATCTCTGGAGACACTATCATTGGGCCTAGAGGTGCAAATCGATCAAACCCCTTACTGAAGCACCATTGAGGTAAACCTCCGGCCTTTTTAGGATCACGCTGCCACCCACGGCATGACACGTCGTTAGATACGCAATACCCGGCGACGAAGTCTAGCGCGGAACCCTTGGGAATGTTCTTCCCGGTCTTGCCGATAATAATGGCCTGAAATTCTCAGTACGAATACCTCATACTTGAACCTTTCTGCCTCCCTTCAAAACTTACCAGCTCTCCTTCGTAATCTATTGTGCCGTCCTGGGCGACTTTTGGAATAGGTATATTGTCCTCGAAGCCTGCAATACATGTCGATGGCTTGATGAATAGAGAAGGATATGGCGGTGGCGTGCGCCCTCCCTCCTCGACTGAAAGAATGGTCAGAAATGTGGTTAAGCCTTTGACAGGATCACTTTAGTGCTCACTATGCTTGGTATAATTGAGTCCGATGCATCGAATAATTGGGACATCAGATGGATATAATATGTTTCGCAGAGCCTTGACATGAACTTTCTCTCCGCGCGTCGTAAGGTTAAAAGGGCCTACGCCATTGTATTCGGTTGCATGAAGAGTGCCATTTGCTAGTAGCTGCTCGAGCTCATGATCCGACTGTATGCAAGGCTCCCCAAACATCTCTTTTCCACTGTCATCCGCAAACCGGATCAGTCTTTTCCAGGCTTGTGCAGACATTATTCGATGTATGAACCATAAGATAGGCTACGCTGACGACCTCACTGTTTGGACACTAAGATTGTCGCTATGGTTCGTGAATTGTCTATAACTATGGCCTTATAGGTGGGTGGCGGACCCTTTCCGAGGTTTCGGGGGTAGGGTCCGATGGCCACCGTAGAAATATGCGATGCCTTGCGCACTGCGGTTACAAATCCATATGGTTAAGGAAACCAATCCGGACCTGTACTATATTCCGTCGGATCTAATTCCTCGTAGGTAAGGCGCCTGCGAAAATCGCAAACTTCCCTTGAAGGATTCTGTACAGCACTTGTCAACCACGGGCTAATTGCAGAAAAGAAAATGAACACTTGCCGAAGGCCGGCAGGAGTTGAGCAGCCGCAAAAACGGTGTTGTATTGATTCAATTTAATTAAAATGATGAAGCGGCAGCTGTAACCTATGACGACTGTTGACAGATAGCAACAGTACATGCTTGCATTGTGACTTGGTCACTGTGGACAAGCCTCTATTCTGAATGTTGATTATGGCCTGACTCATTCCATCAACGCGTAATTTCCCTCACATTTGCTTGCAATGGAATATCCATTCTGGTTCGGCGGGAGTGCAAGCTCCATGGCGACATTGTTCACGCATCCCTTGGATCTCGGTTAGTTGAGCCCATCCAAGTCGCCACAGTGATCTAACGAGTTGCATAGTCAAAGTGCGCTTACAAGCAGCCCCAAACGCGCAACAAGCGTGTACGTCTGGTACAATGCATCGCATTCTACTCACCGAGGGGTTCACCGGTCTTTATTCGGGCCTCAGTGCGGCCCTACTCCGTCAAATGACATACTCAACCGTTCGATTTGGAGTGTATGAGGATTTGAAGATTCGATTGAGAGCCGGTAAACCGGCCGAGGAGGGCCTAGGTTCCATGCTGATCCCTCTTTCTGCGTTCTCGGGCTTCATCGCCGGTGTTGTTGGCAATCCAGCCGATATTGTAAATGTGAGGATGCAATCGGACAAAGCTAAGCGCCTCCAGGATCAGACAAGATATAGACACGTCTTCGATGGCTTGGTGCAAATAGTAAGGAAAGAAGGCCCTCTCAGCGGCCTCTTTCGAGGCGTGGGTGCCAATGCAACAAGGGCAGCTCTGATGAATTCATCGCAACTAGCGTCCTATGATATCTGCAAATCATATTTCCTCGGCAATTTCGGCATGGGAGATAGCACGTCAAATCACCTAGTCTCTTCAGCTGTGGCAGGCATGGTTGCAACAACAATATGTTCTCCCGTGGACGTGGTGAAAACGCGTGTTATGAGCTCGTCGGTTGCGCAGGGGGCGTGGAATATTTTGCGGGCCTCTACGTTAAGAGAAGGACCTACTTGGATATTCAAAGGATGGTTGCCAAGTTTCATGCGTCTAGGGCCACAAACCGTTCTGACGATGATGTTTTTTGAGCAGCACAAGAGTATTTACTCGAGGTTTCACTGTAATTTAGCAAGCAAGACGCCCACACTATGAACCGCTATTTGAGAATGCAGTGGAGCGTCAATCTCATCAGTGGCAGGTTAGCAGAGAGAATAAATGCAGGCTTGCCTCAGAGGTCCAGTTTTCAGTAGCTTCTGCCATTGAAGGAGTTACATTAGCATATTTACAGTGAAGGGTCGCTTAGAAGCAAGATCTTGAGCGGGATCCAAGCATCGCTCTGGGCCATGGGGGTTCAAGAGCTTGGATGTCATTTCATGTCACTCAACGGAGGGGGGGTTTAATTACAGCTGTGAATGAGAAGATATTTAAGCTCATGTGCCGCTGAATTCCGAAGATACGAGCACAGGCGACTAGATATCGACTAGATAGCTACTAGGCACTGTAATGCAGTCCAGGTCACGGAATCAGATCCGGCGGGTCCTTGTAGGCGCATCCACCTCCTCATTACCCCGGATTTGTCCCCCGTGGGGTCTCTTGTGTAGGTAGAGTCGCTCCAAAGAAAGTTTATAAAAGGAGATATATTTGCCTTCACGGTTCGGTTGCCAGAAAGCAGTCCAATTACAAATGCCCTTCTAGACAGCAGCCGCAGCTATGAGCGAAAAGCCCGAGATTTCACATCGCGAGTCCCAGAAGTCTGATGGCTTTGTGACGGCGCTCCCCGACACTCTTCGGAGAGATGGCGGTTTGTTGCTGGATGCTGAGGGTCTCGAGAGGCAAGATGAACAAGTTTCTCTCAAGTTTGCTTCTGACGGACATGTGAGTCGACTCCTCTTAGCATTTGAAGGATGGCGTCCCTAACTCTCGCTTCATATAGACGGTGCTCCTCCCTCAACCCACCGATAACACATGTGATCCTTTGAATTGGTCGTGGACAAGAAAGCATCTTGTTCTTTTTACAGTTGCATGGGCCGCATTGACAGCTGATGTCACCGCGGCAGCTGGCTCGGCCATTATCTTCCCGCAGGCTGCGCAGTGGCACATCACTCCTGGCCGAGCAAATGATCCCAACGCCATAGCGGTCCTTCTCAAGTAAACCATTTCTAGCAGTGATTATCCATAGAAGTACGCTTACATTCTGATAGTGGTATCGGTGGTCTCATTTGGGTGCCAGTGAGCTCCATCTGGGGCCGCGGACCGGTACTCTTCTGGACAACCGTCTTCGGCTTCGGCTTCCAGATCGGCAGCGCGTGCTCGACCGAATACGAAACCTACTACGCTATGCGAGTCGTCTCGGCATTGTTCCTCACCAGTGGCCAAGTCATATCCATTGCTTTTCTCAAAGACATCTTCTTCTTCCATGAACGAGCTCGCAAGATCGGCCTCTGGGCAGTGCTCTACATCGCCTCTCCCTATCTTGGACCCTGTCTCGCCAACTTCATAATTGCGGCGACGCACCACTGGCCACATGTCTACTGGATGTGCTCCGGATGCGCTGGCATCCAGCTTCTGCTCGTGCTAGCCTTCGCGGACGAGACGTGGTACAATCGCGATGTGCCTGATTCACAACAGCCCGCACGACCTGGAGGCCTGGGACGATTATGGAGACTGACTGGCGTCTGGGGATTCCGGCACCATAGTAGTTACTTCCCTTCGACTGTCTCCGTTTGTAAACGATTTTTCTCGACAATCACAAAGCCCGCTTTCTTTCTGATATGCTTGTCATAGTAGGAGTCTAACTAGGCACGGCTTGTATGATCATCGGCTGACTGGTTTCTTAGCTTCCTCTGCTTCGCCTGGGCAATTGGCATCAATATCTCAACGAACCTCCTACTAGCAACACCTCAAGAAGCTGGTGGCTATGGTCTGTCCACCACCACGATTGGCTACGTCTACTTTGTCAATATTGGCGGTGTGTTCATTGGTGAAATTTTCGGCCACTTCTTTAACGACTACATGGCACGTCGCTACGTGAAGCGCCATAATGGCGTTTTCGAATCCGAGGTCCGCCTCTGGACTGTCTACGTCTCCGTAGCACTGATGATTCCTGCGCTCATACTGATTGGCCAGTCTCTGGAGAAGACTCTACCACTCGTCGCCGTCATCTTCGGCCTGGGCATCTTTACGACCGGTGTCATGATCAATTCCGTGGCTGTCACGGCGTACGCGCTGGACTCATACCCAACAGTCCCGGCGGAACTCAGTGGATGGCTGAACTTTGCGAGGACCGTCGGCGGGTTCGCGGTGGGCTATTTCCAGCAGCCGTGGTCGGAGAGAGTCGGTGCAGATGCGAGCTTCGGGACACAGGCTGCAATTGTGGCAGTTGCAACTATTCCGGTAATCGTGGTCCACCGCTACGGTGCCGCGATTAGGCAGAAATACGGACCAATTGGCTAAGGAAAATAACATCACTCGATCGAATTTGAAGATGGCAAAGGGTGACTGGATAACCTGATGTGGAGAATTGTGGCTAGCTGCAAAAGTGTACCCACCTCGGGAAGACCCACCTACCCTATAGCTTTACTCCAATTTCAAATCTCTACCTATATAACAATAATGAAAACGTATACACTTGCTGCACACAACCCTGCGCAAGCACTTCCCTGTAGATTTCAAGATATTCATAGACTTACCGCTTTTAGTTTGTAAGGTTTTCCATGGCATCTGTCGCTTCCTGGCAGCTGAAATATGACTTTCCTCGGTTGGGCATTCGATGAAATGGAGATGTTGGTAAAAATTTGTGCTACTCCGCGGTGGAGGTTGTCGATCCCATGTTGGAATTACCCAGTAAATGGAACTCAAAGGATAAGGGTGTTACTACGGTGGTACGATGAAGCGGAACATGAGCGGGCATTGCCTGGCTTAAATGCTCGAACCTGAACCGCACAAATCCTATGACTTGTAAGAGTCCAGCTTTGTTGCTTACCGCTGTTTCCCCTTGCTCCCCAGAATCAGGATGGTTCGGATGGAGGAAGGAGACACGAAATCACTTCTCCTTTGTGCCAATCACTTTGTTGAGGTTCAGTGGTATAGGGTAGGCCAAAGTTCTACCTACCCTATAGCCACGTGACACGACCAGCCTCCTCGTTTCCTCATCTCATCCATCTTGAGGGATTCGCGCCACTCGCTACCAAGATAGAATTTCATCTGTGATTAATAAAGTGAAGTCAGCCAGACCTACCACTATCTGTGTAAGAATACAGTCAGGGCTGCGCCTCCAACATGAACTCAGGCTCAAATCAAGTAGGAAAAAAAACTGATGCTCTAGAGAAGTTAATCTCTGATTGGTAGAGTGAAGTCAGCCAGACCCACCACTATCTGCCTAAGAAGACAACCCTGTCTGCCCTGGATCCAATTAAGTACGTACATAAAAAAAACTGATGCTCTAGAGAAGTTCATCTCTGATTGGTAGAGTGATGTCAGCGACCCACCACTGTCTGCCTAAGAAGACAGCCCGAGGGCTTCTTCAGCACAGGCTCAAATTAAGTAGGAAAAAAAACTGATGCTCTAGAAAAGTTCATCTCTGATTGGTAGAGTGAAGTCAGCCAGACCCATCAATGTCTCTCCAAGAATGCGTTGGTACGTACTAACCACCACCCAGGCCGGAACACGTCGCAATACAAAGCAGCTTAAACCCTCAGGACTTCGCGTTAGTACCGGATCGAACTTACATTCGGCGGCTGCAGACCGAACGACGGATGGTATCCAAACATCATGGTCACTTCCCCCATCCACTTCGTCCACGATGTGGATGGGGTATCAAGGCCGGCCACTATCCACATTTTCTGCATGTATTCGGTCGACGTTCTCAGAGCATTCCTTGGTTCCGATTCAGAGTGCGCCGGTCGGTACACAATAAATAAAGAAGAACGCGAGGAGAAGGTGGACGCGAAATAAAGGCTTCGGCGTCATGTTGATCGTTGAAGGAGGACCGACAGGTAAGTACGCATCGAGAACGACCATATTCCGCTCGGCGCTCAGGGCTCCGATCTATTACACCAGATATACACGTTCATCAATCTGACACCAAGCCCCTGCTTAGTCATATTTTTTTTTTGGTAGTACTCTTTTTCTTCTTCTCAATTAAGGAAACCTTAATCCAAGTAGAATAAGTATATATATTAGTTTATCTCGGTAATTTACCTGCTTGTATAAGCCTAGATCTTATAGCTAGATTATATCTTTAAGCTTAAGATATATAGATTTAATAATATAAATAATTAGAAATAATTCTTTTAATCTTTAGCTAATTAATTTATATATTAATTATAAATATATATAGGATTATATATTTAGTTAGATAATTATAATAGTATATACCTTATAACCTAATATTAAACTAATATTAATAATCTTTTCTTTATAGAATAGCTAGTTATAATAATAATAAGAAGATAAATAAATATAATATATATAATAAATAAAATATAAAATTAAAAGATTATTTAATTAGTATAATTAGTATTATATATATAGCTATATTATTAAATATATATTAATTAAATAAATAATAGGGAAAAATTTATTAATTATAATAATAATAGAAAATTATTATATAGAACTATATTATATTATTTAATCAGTATATAGTAACTTATAATTAGCTATTATATTTTTATTTATAAACTCTAGTAACTATTAATATATTATAAAACTAATACCAGCAGATTAACTTTTTTTAATTTAACTTCTCCTTCTAATAAACTTCTACTATTTAATATTTAACTTAATTCCGATTAAGTTAATTCTATTTCGCCTGAATATAATTAGAAATTAATTTAAACTAATACTTTAGATTATAGTAACCTCTACTCGGATAAGTTCTATATAATATATAATATACTAGAATCAGAGATTATATTACTAGTTATTATAATTATTAAATACTTAGTTATTAAGGTATAATCTATTATACCCCTTTTTATTATCTACTAGTACCTAGTACAGGGTATAAGATACTAATAACTCTCTATAAGCTTTATAGTAGAGTATTAAGCTAAGTAGCTATAACTACTAAGCTTATATACTTATAAGCAGCTTTAATACTATAAGGAGTTCTATTACTAAGTACAGACTCTAATATTAGATATATTTATTATATATAACCTATAGATTATTATTAATTATCTTTATTATATATATAAGGATATAGTCCCTCGCTATAACCAGGCTTTAGCTACTTAAGATAATTATATTAGAAAAGGCTATTATTATTATTATAAGAAGATATTATATA